CATTATAATAAATAGGACAGGAATAGGAGGGACTGGTCTGTATAAACTTTGTCTCACCATTATAATAAACAGGACAGGAATAGGAGGGACTGGTCAGTATAAACTTTGTCTCACCATTATAATAAATAGGACAGGAATAGGAGGGACTGGTCAGTATAAACTTTGTCTCACCATTATAATAAATAGGACAGGAATAGGAGGGACTGGTCAGTATAAACTTTGTCTCACCATTATAATAAATAGGAGGGACTGGTCTGTATAAACTTTGTCCACTTTTCATCTGAATGTCTCTATCCTTTCTGTAGAGATATGTTACAAAACTCCAGAGGGAGCAAGCCTATGAATGTCTAACAACAACAACAACAACAACAACAACAGAACAAAATGAACTGATACATGTAGGACTTGTGGGTACACTATGTGTAGGACTTGTGGGTACCCTTATGGGTACCCTTTGTGTAGGACTGTAGGTACCTTTTCAGTACACTTCCCTTATTTATAGATGTATCAGCATGACGAACAAGTCTGAGCTCTCTTATGTGAGTCTTGATACAACACCATGAGAGACATTGTGTTAGAAATTCTAAATCAAAAAAGAGATACTAACAAGTATATACAAAGTTTAGCAAGTCTAGATGAGGTAGTAGTTGACCAGATGAGAAAAACCATTTGGTCAATAACTTTTTAAGACAAGATGCCACATGGGCCTGCAGCACTCACCTGTTATATATATATATATCCCAACCAAATATCATACCTCTCTGCCTTTTGGTTCATGAGAAGAAGTCATTGAAATAGTTGAAAATATTCTACCTCTGTGACCTTGAACATAAGTCAAGGTCATTTATTTTTCCATACTTTGTCAGGATTCATCCTCAGAACATACCAGCCAAATAGCATGCCTCTAGGTCTATGAGTTTATGAGAAGAGGTTGTTTGAATATTTTTTAAAATTTGATCTCTGTGACCTTGAATAAAGGTCAAGATCTTTTCTTTTTTTCTAAATTGGTTGGGTTTCATCCTAGGAACATACCCGCCAAATATCAAGCCTCTAGACCTATTATGTCCTGAAAAAAAAGTTTTAACATATTTGACCCCTGTGACCTTGAATATAGATCAAGGTCATTTCCTTTTGCAAAATTTGTCAGGTTTCATCTAAGCTGAAGAATATTTTTTTTTAGTATCCATCCGTGCCAAACCCTAAAATGTACATACCAGGTATGTTCAAAGTATAGCTAGTTTCTGTTCAAGACGAGAAAAGTCTTGGCCAAGAAAAGAGGAACATTAAGAGAGATGACAAGAAAGAAATAAAGGGGACAATGGTCATTTGTTAGTATAACAAACATCCTCAGATATCCACATGTTGTAACTTAAAGTTACATGCTGCTGAAGTTATGTCTGTGAGAGTCCAGATATAGAACAACATCACAAGGTTTTATCAGGACACACAAAATATCATTACTTTCTATGTAGTATCTAAGGATGTTACCGACGAAAGTTAAGCTTAATTAAAATATTACAGAATTACCAAACCTACTATCTTAAAATAAAAATACATTACAAACATACAAAAGAGTCAATCAATTTTATTTGTAACAATTATAATTTGACAGACTTCTATAAAAATATCTTTAATTGCTATAATAATTAGGTCATGATTGCAAAGGAGCCAATATACATCGTGTATATATTTATAATTGAAAGACAAAGGATGAATATATCATGTCAGTAGAGACAACTTCTTATAAGTAATAATATACGTATGTACATAACTTGAACCAATTTCCAAGATAAAAAATATCTTGGTGTACCGTAAAAATTGCCTCCAAATCAATGTAGCCTATAGCTGTTACATGTATTTGTAGATCAAGACTACACCATTTTACTTACATTATGGCATATATATTTTCATGCAATTTACATTTCTGTAATATAGCATAGTTAATGTATACCATACATAATATATTCTATCCGCTGTACACAGAGAAGATGACTATGGATTTTTTTATTTTGCTCTTGCATACCTATGTGAAGCTAAAATGGAAAACTCACGAGAAGTTCCACACATCTTACAGGATACACATGATCAAAATATCCAGACAAATTTTTTCTAAATCTTCCATGAAGTCAATTTAGCTTGTGATATATTTTGTCTCCATTTTGATGTCATTGATAAATCAGTGTGTAATGTAACTTTATTAACATTTAATATCCTGGCAATCTTTGTTTTTTTATGTATATAATGGTAAACTACATAGATGATAATTAAACACATACTTCAATAATATTATAAAATAAATCCTTGCACTACTAAACACATCAGAAGGTTCACCAGCCCAGTTACATCACTATATCACACTCCAATTTTACTGTAAATAACCTTTTTCAGTTCTAGCTTCACAAATTCTTCACAGTTCTAATGAATATGGACCTATCCTGGTCTTTATCACAGGGACTGGGAATGAGTTACCTAACCTGGCCTGTTTCAGAAGATTATCAGATTTTATAGATGATATATCAAAAGGAAAGTTATTTTTACCGGAAGTAAATCTAACGTCCCAGAACATGCTGATTCAAACCAGGTCTTCCATGTATTTCTATAAAAAGTATTTCAAAACTTCACTAAAATTTTCCTTTAATGGAGTGTTATTTCTTTTAATGTAACATAGAGACTGGACCATATATATAGATAGTCCAGGATGAAATATACATTACAGTATATCCAACACAGAAACAATTTGTATTGACATACGTATCTATTTCAAAATTTTTCAAGAATGGAAAAACTTTGACCAACCATCACGGATAACCAGCTGATCGGAGATTCATAGTATTTTCACAATTGTTTTGTGTAACAGTAATCTCTGGACTCCCAAATCTCTCAGTATCACCAGGTAACCATCTTTATCCTGACAAAGCAGAGACTAGGTTAGGGTAATTGTCAAATTTTACTTTACAATATTTTAAGATATTGCTCCACAAAAGGAAGATAATCCACACAGGCTAAAACGTGAGAGAAGATTCAGGATTAAATTATACCATATTACACAAAAGTATTACTTCAATAAAAAGAAAAAAACAGTAAAAAAAATTCAAAACAAATTATATAAAAGTTTAAGGTGACATCCTCATTTTCAGATCAATGACAGGGTAATTAGTTACAAAGGAAGCGAGTACTATACCTATAGTAACTTAATACATTTATCTACTGATAACTGAAACACATGCTTTATTTTATATCTTAATGATAAATTATATGTAATGTCAGTAGTTATGTAGTAGAGTCAGAGACAAGGTTTAGGTATGGAATTCGTATGTGTATAATAGAAGGCAATCTTACAAACAACTTTTAGCCTAAACACACAAAGTTATACCTGACTTACATATATAAAACATCATGTAGAACACTCGAGTTAGTATGTTCATATCTTAACAGAAGATAATGAAGGTTTTATAGGTAAACATACCTGTACCAATAGGTAATGAATGTTTTACAGGTAAACATACCTGTACCAGTCGGTAATGTAGGTTTTTAAGGTAAACATACCTGTACCAGTAGGTAATGAAGGTTTTACAGGTAAAAATACCTGTACCAGCAGTTTATGAAGCTTTTACTAGTCAACAACCTCTCCCAATATTCTCTTTTGACCTTTCATCCTCTCTTTTCATTTTTTTTTATTAATATACATCTAGACATTTCAAAAAGTCAAAAAATTATTATTTACTATAAATGATTTCTAAATCAAAATAAAAAATTGCTTCAATACAAATTCTTCTTTCAATCATCACAAGAAAACCAAACATCTTGGGCATCCAGTCACTTTTTATGAAATATTGAACATTCTGTCTTTTTATAATGGTTGGCATCATAAAGAGGGCAATTGTGTTGGGAGAGTTAATTCCATACTCGGTAACCCTATACAAAACGTACAAAATTACATTGTATATTCATGTACTATTGTTAAGTATACATTAGTTTGGTCAATAAACTACACTACAAATGCAAGGAAAACTGTCAGTATACTGCAGATGATATCTATTGTATCAGTTCTTCCTGACACAAGTCCTAGACCTGAAACAAGAAGACTTTCATCTAGGACCAAGGTGATGTCTTTGATTCAAGGTCATGTCACTGATTCAAGGTCATGTCACTCATTAAATGTCATGGCATTGATCGAAGGTCACATCTTTGATCAACAGTGACATCTTTCACAATATTTCTGCTTTATCTAACCGGTAAGTTGTATTACAGCTAGTGAGGCTGAACAGAATTTTTATATGTAGGTCCTCTATAACTAGATAATTCTGATTATCTCCTGATGCCCCGTATCTTGTCTTTCCTACATCTATTATATAATCTTATTATGTTTTAGAGAATATACTACATTTCTATACCAGTACATTATTCTACCTCGCTACATAAGAATGTATATACACTTGTATAAACACATAAACAAATTTCTGTTATCATTAATATAAAGGGTCCTCCTTTATAAAATGGTGATTTAACATCAACAAAGTAATAAAACATACCCAAGAGTAGAATTCCAAAACAGCTCTTATAAATTTATACAACTTGTATTACATATCTTCTGAGACATTTGTGTAAACAAAATCCTACAATGTTGTACAGTTATATTTGTATTTCCCTACACATCATAGTTCATCTCAGAAGGAACATTAGCTTCCATAGCTATTATACAAATGTACCTGTACTACAAAGTTTACACTGGAATATGTATATGTATAAGCTACTTTGTCATATACAAGTAAGCCTATGGCACAATTTGGTTGTTAACACTGAGTCAGACAGCAGGCCATGTAAATTGTATATATTAAAAATAATTCTTTATGAATAATGTTGTTTCCATTATTTACTTTGTAATTTTTTACTGATAGAGGCTTAACTCCTTATATATCTATCAATATTGTATCTAGATTATAATTTCAATTTAATCAAAATTATAATAAGATAAAAAAATGAAATAATATTTGAAATAATTAGCTGATATGCTGTAACTTGTTAGAATGATGAACATGTTAACCGATATCAGTGGTAGTTTGTTGACTTTTACAGTAATTGTCTATTTTGGGCAGTAATTTTTACCGAGTTTTGATAAAAAATTAAAAATGTTGTACTTGTATATGTTTAAGATATTTTCAATATTACAGCACTATATCATATGATTGCTGACAATTGATAAAATACATTTATTGTGATACAAATTACTTGGTATATATATGTAGTAACACAGGATAATGGTACTATCTTCTATAATAATTGTGTTATCTAGTACAATGTGCTGTAGTGTAGTAAAATTGATGATATTCAATATTCATATGATATGAATTTTACTTCAAACTAAGGCACACTATGTGTTTTATATGTGTGGAATATAACCATAGAAACATACAGAGGACGGCATGTAAATGTAATCAACAGACTTCTTCAGGACTTCTATACATTTCTTCAAATCTGACAGGAAATTGAAAAAATTGTAACATATATTCTTCAAAAACATATGATATCTTAATGTGATGATGGAAATATAAATGATAATCATTTGCTTTGTTCAGAAAATACAAATCTGTATTGTATATTGAAAATAGATATGGGAACTTTTCTGGACATCATACTAATCACTGCATAGACAGAAAAATATCAAATTTTCTCCTCAAATCTACATAAGTGTTTTGCTAACTGTCGCGCTAAATTTCAATTACTTATGACTATTTTGTACAGGACATTTCTGAGGATCTCTCTCAGTTCAGTATTAAAACTTTAAATACACTAGCTGGATCTTACCAGAATCTAACACAAGTATTATATAATTTTAAATTTGATTTCCAATTGTGCAACTACAGCTACACCTTCTATGGTTACAGTGATGCCATGGCAATTATGGTTATATTGAGGCCATGGCAATTATGGTTACAGAAATGTCATGACAATATCCTCACCTTCTATGGTTACAGTGATGCCATGGCAATTATAGTTATAGTGATGCCATGGCAATTATGGTTACAGAAATGCCATGGCAATATCTTCACCTTCTATGGTTACAGTGATGCCATGGCAATTATGGTTATAGTGATACCATGGCAATTATGGTTACAGAAATGCCATGGCAATATCTTCACCTTCTATGGTTACAGTGATGCCATGATAACAGCCACAACTATTACTATGATCACAGCAATGGAATGACAACAGTCACAGCTTCTATGGTTACAGAGATGCTATGACAATGTCCACACCTGCTATGGTTATAGCAATACCATGACAACATCCACGTCTATGGTTACAGAGATGCCATGACAATGTGCACACCTGCTAGGGTTACAGCAATACCATGACAACATCCACATCTATGGTTACAGAGATGCCATGACAACCACACCTTCTGTGAAAACATCCACACTTTCCCTGGAGGCAGTACATACAACATGTGAAGTACATAAGGCATCAAATAACAAGCACAGACAAAGCGAGTGCATAAGGTGAATATGCTGAATTAAAACAAATGTTAAAGTCAAATACATCACAATCACTCTCACATGTAAAATACTATGACTGTACCTAAACTTATAGTGGTTAATTCTAGCTGGCTTCATTTACCTACATGTTACATAAGGTAGGAGCTTTATATAGATTTATCCATTGTACTTAGCAGTCTAACTTTATATGTCCTCTCATTTTGTACCTGGGCATGTACTTTACAAGGCATAACTACCTATTATAGACAATATCTCAAATAGACACTGCAGAAATATTAATTTTGTATTGAAAGTTCAACAAATTTTTCAATTTGATTTCTGGTTTTTTCACTTGTGCACATTTTTGTCTTTTCTTGTCTGACAAATCGCCTAACTCTTGTATTATACCTGATCTGGATAAGATAATGGCAGTATAAGGAATACAAAATCTGATACAATATCTATACATCATATAGGCAAAAGATGGACTTTATAAGCCTTTCCTACCCCACAGTAACAATGGTCAGTATATGTATGATGATAAATGTATATCTCTTCATGATCCATAGAAAATGTATGGAGACAAACACACCAAGTACAGAATACTGTTGACTCAGTATTACAGTGACTGTGACTTCACCGACCCTATGAGGTATAGTGCTATCATTTGATACGACCGGCCATCTGGCGCCCTATTTCCACATTACAGTCCCTTGTTCTATCACAGAACTGTTGGCCCTCATAGTAAGCTATAGTATAACTCTCTCTTTATCATACCAACAAACCCTATCATGGGTCAGCACTTTGTAACAAATGTTGCATAGTTTCTATAGGAATGTCCTGGAGATCAGAGCTCTGCAGCCTATCACAGCTTTTCCACATAGTTGGCTGGAAACAGGCCCTGTTTTCCTCGCAGCTTCCCTGTCCACCAGCCGGTTGCCTCTGAGGATTTCAAAAGTTTGAATTCCACATTCAAGAAGCAAATTAATTTACAAAGTTCTTTTATTAAAAATCAAAATCTGTTTAACAGTTATCGTTATTATAAGTGAATATTGCTTGGTCTACATATCTCTACCATATATTTCACCATTTCCTACATGTGCAATAAAAAACAACAAAAAACATAACATTTTTTTCTTTATGACAATCATGGAAGAATTTTGATCAGCTTATATGAATCACTTTTGCTTGTCAGAATAAAAGGGTGTGAAGGTCTTCACACTTTAAACTATTAAAGAATTGATTGAATCCTAGATGTTCTGGTAAAAAGAGTATGTTATGCACTTGCCACTTGACCAATACAGGGTTCAATCTTTATGCTTTTAATCAGCTAAAGGAGGGAACCAGAATTTGTGATGATCTCCTGACAAGATCAGTAAAGTGTTTGATATCAATACCTTCTTTAACTATTTCTATGACATCTTGCAAGATCAGTAAAGCGTTTGATATCAATACCTTTTTTAACTATTTCTATCATGTCTCCTGACAAGATCAGTGAAGTGTTTGAAATTAATACTTTAACTATTTCTATGATGTCTCCTGACAAGATCAGTCAAGCGTTTGATATCAATACCTTTTTTAACTATTTCTATCATGTCTCCTGACAAGATCAGTGAAGTGTTTGAAATTAATACTTTAACTATTTCTATGATGTCTCCTGACAAGATCAGTAAAGCGTTTGATATCAATACCTTCTTTAACTATTTCTATGACATCTCCTTCATTGAAGCTTAGTTCATCAACATCCTGGGCATCGTAGGCATACAGACATCGACACTGAGGGAAAGCAGGCTTCGGTTTGGGTGCAGCTGGGGGTTTAGGACGTCCCCCGCCAGGACTGGGCTTTTTGGTACTAGATCTGTTCCTTTGTACACTGAAAACAGCAAAAATAGTGAACTTTCGAAGTTAAATTATTTTGTATCATCACAAGTGTTTCCTTGAACAAATTATCTCTTTTAAGAAAAAGTTGGCTCTTACCTTCCGACTTATTTCTAGAAACACGTAATCTCAACCTTTCCAATAACATCAAAGAACATGTTGACCCTAACCTTTCCACTTATCTTTAAGTATAAGTTGATAATAACCTTTAATTTCTAGTAACCATCTGATCCTAAATTTTATACTTATTTCCAGAAACATGTTGACTCTTGCGTTTCCACTTACTTCTACAAACATGTTAACCCTAATGTTCCCATTTATTTTCACAAATTATGTTGACGCTAACTTTCCACTTATCTCCATGAACACAATTAAAAAAATACACAATGCAATGTAAATTATTTATTTCTGCTATCTATTTATAGACCTCATTACATTCTGTTTTATTTGTACTCAACAGTAATGTCCATCTTTTTTCTGTAACAATCTTTTTAATGCCCTCAGTAGTCCTGAAATAGCAATCATTTTAATGCCCTCAGTAGTCCTGAAATAGCAATCATTTTAATGCCCTCAGTAGTCCTGAAATAGCAATCTTTTTAATACCCCCAGTAGTCCTGAAATAGCAATCTTTTATAGAAATCATTTTAATGCCCTCAGTAGTCCTGAAATAGCAATCATTTTAATGCCCTCAGTAGTCCTGAAATAACTCTTTTTAATACCCCCAGTAGTCCTGAAATAGCAATCTTTTTAATACCCTCAGTAGTCCTAAATGCAATCATTTTAATGCCCTCAGTAGTCCTGAAATAACTCTTTTTAATGCCCTCAGTAGTCCTGAAATAACTTTTTTTAATGCCCTCAGTAGTCCTGAAATAGCACTCTTTTTAATGCCCTCAGTAGTCATGAAATAGCAAATTTTTTAATGTCCGCAATAGTTCTGAAATAGTTAAACATTAATGCATTTGGTAGAACTGATAAAATATGCTTTAAATATTTTTTCTTGAAAAAACATTAGTCTACATGATTTAATGCTGAATCAAATCTAATGAGAATTGAAATTTAGCACAGTAATGAATTAAATTCCTATCAAGTATTGAAATAAGCTATATATAATTATATGATATTAAAAATATGTAAACTACTGATTAGAGACTTTACCCGACATAATCACAATTACCTTAAATATGCTGAAAAGGAAAATTTAATTTTCTAAGATTATTGTATATTTTAAAGCAGTTTATAAAGTATAGTATCAATGTATTCGTCACAACACTAACAATACCATTACAGGAGCTCTCTGGCCTAGAGTTACTTCCCTTTTCCAGTATTTGTCATATTGACCAAGTGTAATGACAGCTTTTAATGCTGATATAGTATGTGCCAGCAAGTCTAAATTTCCCATGTTTGATCCATGTAGTTTCTATTTTTTTCGTTTTAATCTTTATTTTTGCTTTGAAATTCTCAAAATTTAAATGGTTACAACTTGGCAAAATATCCCACCAGGTCTTACATGTGAAAACACCATTTTTCTTCTTCACAACAATATTTATGGGGAGTACAACATCTAGACAGGTTTGCAATGTTTTCTAAAAGTTTCACAATAATTATCACAGAATTAATTTCAATGATATCAGTAAAACTATCTCAAACTAATTGCTCAATCAGTGTACATCTTACCTAAAAATAAAGGTATCATTTATTCAGCTTGAGTCACCATTAAGTGCTGTGATCACAGCCTCAGTTTGGTAGGTACTTTGTTCGACTTAAGTCACCACTAAGTGCTGTGATCACAGCCTCAGTTTGGTAGGTACTTTATTCAGCTTAAGTCACCACTAAGTGCTGTGATCACAGCCTCAGATTGGTAGGTACTTTGTTCGGCTTAAGTCACCACTAAGTGCTGTGATCACAGCCTCAGTTTGGTAGGTACATGAGGTATTTATTTAATATCAACAAAACACAAAATATCAACCCCATATTTATCCAGCAATAAGTCTGGGCCTGATAATCAAAGTAAACATATATATCAGGTATTTTTTAGCAAAATAATAACCGACAATCACTGCAATTTTATTGCTATACAATCAGTTCACCTCCTGAGAACTGATCAGTATGTCTGTTTCCTGAACTTATTGTAGGTTAAATACAGTAATGGCCTGAGTATCAGGCAGTGTCATGCTGTATCCCTACTCCATGGTACAAGTCTACATCACTACATCAGAGACTACAAACATCAAATTAAACCCATATAGAACATCATTAACAGAAAATCACTCCTGGTTTTGACAGTTACCCCAAAGTGTATTGATCTACCATTCTGACAAACAAACCGCTTAATCCAGACATAACATATTTCTAAAAATATCAAACTTATTTCATGACTCTAAAAAGATCCTTTTCCTAAAGGCAGTATATCATATAAAACCATATTGCCAATCAAAGTTTTCAAGTTTCATCATTTTGGTCATTTGGAGATGAGAGCTATTTATGTTAAACACCAGGTATCCAATTTTACAATTTTGTTCTTTTTACAACTTCTGGACTTTTCATACTGAGCTCTCACAGATTATTCTTTTGAGAGAAATCTGAAAGTTTAAACGATTCATCGAAATTACTAACAGATATTTTTCATATGGTCTGATGTTTTATATGACATTATTACTGACCTTTAACCTAATGACAAACCTTACTATCAATAATACCACCACCAACAACACTTACATACCAATCATCCATTTCTCTGGATTGCCTCCCTTTAATTCATATTTAATTCCTTGTAAGGAATTGTTACTGGGTAAGTTTTCACCATATCAATTAATTCTCAAAATATTCCACACAATGAGATTTTATGCAGACATAAGTGTATTTTAGGAAATAAAAAGAATCTGTTTAGAAGATAGGAACAGTCTAAGCATGGTCTCATGATCCCTCTGACTGTTATTGCACTAAGTGAGCAGTTTGTCAAAATAAAACATCTTTACAGTTTAATTACAATTTATATTTAGATAACTGACTGCCATTTTATATTTTACACTGTGTTCTTTCCTCAATTTCATGGCATTTTTAATTTAAGACTGAATTCTGTAACCTGTCTTCTGTTCTCATGGTCTTATATAACCATGCATTATCTGAGTGCTCATGCCAATATACCTTTACTTAATGACATCCTTAAATAAAGGCATACATTTCATGCAAGACTAAGTAAACAGACTTAATCAACTGAGTCTGAACCACTCTATGTCAACAGCAGTAACTTGTTCGCTTGTCAATAAAATTAACGTACAGAAAATATTCTATTCTTAAGCCAGGATTACAGTCTTCTTGTCAAAAACACATTTCTTCATAGATATCATGGATTGATATTTAAAATCACATTACATTTACTGTCTTTTTTTTAACAAAGCTACTGCAATCTTCTGAAACCTCCATTTGTATATTTGCCTCCTGATGTTTCATAATATCTCACATCACTCTAAAAGTTTCAAATGAATGCATCTGATTAAAAGACTTTCAAACGAAAAAATTTGGAACCATTAAATTAATTTGGATAGTTTGAAAAAGTCACTTCATAGTTACATTGTAGTGAGTTATCTAATAAAACGAAAATGTACACACACAACAAAATTACATGCCCTCGGCCTTCCAGTTGGTGAATCACACGACAGTAAAAGCACAAAAGCATATACAGTTTAGCCTCTCAATTCCAGCCATGTTGATTTTACTTGGCACTGATATTATTGTCCCACTCTCTAATGCCCACTTCTCTGTCCCACCTCCAGTGCCCACTTCTGTGTCCCACCTCCAGTGCCCAATAATCTGGCTGTCCCATCTTCCAGTACCCACTTATCTGATCGTCCCTTTCTCCAGTGCCCACTAATCTGATCGTCCCTCTATCCAGTGCCCACTAATATGATTGCCACACCCTTCAGTGCCCACTTATCTGCTTGTCCCACTCTCCAGTGCCCACTTATCTGATTGTCCCACTCTCCAGTGCCCACTAATCTGATCGTCCCTCTCTCCAGTGCCCACTAATCTGATTGTCCCACTCTCCAGTGCCCACTAATCTGATTGTCCCACCCTCCAGTGCCCACTTATCTGATTGTCCCACTCTCCAATGCCCAATAATATGATCGTCCCACTCTCCAGTGCCAACTAATCTGATTGTCCCACCCTCCAGTGCCCACTAATCTGATTGTTCCACCCTCCAGTGCCCATTAATATGATTGCCACACCCTCCAGTGCCCACTTATCTGATTGTTCCACCCTCCAGTGCCCACTAATATGATTGCCACAAGCTCCAGCGCCCACTTATCTGATTGTCCCACTCTCCAGTGCCCACTAATATGATCGTCCCACTCTCCAGTGCCCACCAATCTTATTGTCCCTGTCTCCAGTGCCCATTAATCTGATCGTCCCACTCTTCAGCTGCCACTAATCTAAATGTCCCATTTCTAGTCAGCACTAATCTGAATGTCCCATTATTCAGCCAACACCAATAAACCATCAAGCCACTACTTGTCTAAATGTCCCATGATCTAGTTGGACTAACTTGTAAGTCCCGCTCTCCAGCTGCCACAAACCTGAATGTTCTGTTATGCAACCACCACTTAACATCATGTTATCATCCAGCTGCACTATTTCTAATGTTCCACTTTCAACCTGCAACTTATCTGATTTGCCCATTAACCAGCCGTCACTTATCTGAATAAAATCCCAGGTACCAGCCACCACTATTTTTAGTGTCCTACTATTCAGCTGCTTTCATGAATGCCCACTCTATAGCCAGTATCACAACAAGACAATTGACAATTTCTTGCTTTTATAAAATTGTACTACTGAACTGATCTAGCAGTTTTTTGAAACTATTTTGTTGGACTTTTGAGGCTCGCCTGTATTCTGGTATTTATCTGGAAATAAGCCCGAGAGAGAGAACTATATGGGAAGGGGGAGGGGGGTGGAGAGTGCACAAAAACAGTGAACGAAAGCTGTGAGATGAGGTCTTTTCAGGATGATGAAATCTTATTTGTTATTGCTATAAATGAACTTCAATCTCCACTGGTGGGCTTATTATCAGGTATGGGCTTATTGCCAGATGTTAACAGGTGTTATCAGACAGACAAAATTTGTGTTAATGTTAAACTTACTCTCTCATTCGTTCTTCGTCAATACGCTGTAGACTAATAGACAGGACAGTATACATATTACAACATCTCAATGACAACCTATAGTCAGTGTATTATAATCATGGCAGTTTATGATAACAAAGTATACAGTAAACAGAGTAATTGGTTAGTCAATAGAATTATGTTTCTGTTTTCAAAGTGAAAGATACAGCATTATCACAGAAAAGTCAACAAGATACGAAGTTTGTTTTGATTCAGCCTGAGTGGTAACAGTGAAAATTTGAAACAATGTAAATTCTTCATGTATCACATATTAAAGTTATCTAAAAATATAATAACTGAAGGAACATAACTCTGACAGTGCTTACCCTGAGTAACCAGCATCTGGTGTTGCCATGAAATTATTGTTATTGTTCATCAGAGCCTCATTTATCTTCTTAGCCTTCTTCTGAGCACCATCTCGAGGTAATGACGGTGTTTTGTCACTGAGGCGACGAGATCGACGGTTACCTGAAAGTCAAATACAAGTTTTTTTAGAATAAATCTTCAATCTAGAGATGTCTATTATTATGTTTAACACACTTGATGACCCGTATGTAGCTGGAATGGATCACATTCAGGTGCCAAACAGCACAGATACATAACATTCATACTACAATAAACCAACACCATCAAAGTATAAATCTGAAGTCCACCTGGATTTTTGGTCAGAAGAAAGAAATGTTTCACTCTGGCTATCAAACCTGTGTTAAATGAAAGAGTTTTAATGACTCAGCCAAACAGGATAGAACCAAACACTTTATTGTTCATCAATGGAAATCATTAGCAATTTTATAACAGCGACACACAGTCCAAGCACTAATCTAAATTGTGCATCAAAAACTAGTTGATTTAGGCATGGTTAGATTTGAAAAGGTACATTTTTTTAACAGTGGTGAAACCAGAAGGAGTTTCTAGGTGGCAGGTATTATGTAAAGAAGCATAATGGTAATGATAGCTTATCCTTTGTGTTGTGTGGTATTTCATTTCATTCCCTGTTCAGTGTGCATAATGCATTTGTAATATTTGTGAGTGGTAGGATTGGTAGATTTCATCAAAACTGCTTGAGAGGAGGAGAGATTAGGAGCATTGAATGTGAGTGAGATGGAGCCCTTAGTGTAGAAGGGATGCAAGATAATAATTAAGGCAAGATGGAATAGATGAGGTTAAATCCCTAATGATGGTGGGGGTCCATGGTACTAACTGAGGTTAGGAGGGTCAGATGCCTATAGGTATGCAGCCCCTTGTTATAGAGGGTGTGTCTGAGTTCCTCATGATGGCAGGGAGGAGGTAGAAGTCTACAAATACTAGAAAGGTTGAATGTGGGTTTGGGTAGAGCACCTGGTGATCGAGGGGTTGCTGATTACTTACTCAAAATAGGAAGGGTGGTTGTGGTGCCTTTTGAATGGATAAGTTGATGGGTATTTACGGTACTTACTGAGACGAGAAGGGTTGGATGTGGGTGGTGGTGGAGCCCCTCGTGATGGAGGGGGTGCTAGGAACTTACTTAGACTAGGAGGGTCGGATGTGGGTGGTGGTGGAGCCCCTCGTGATGGAGGGGGTGCTAGGAACTTACTTAGACTAGGAGGGTCAGATGTGGGTGGTGGTGGAGCCCCTCGTGATGGAGGGGGTGCTAGGTACTTACTTAGACTAGGTGGGTCGGATGTGGGAGGTGGTGGAGCCCCTCGTGATGGAGGGGGTGCTGTGTACTTACTGAGACGAGAAGGGTTGGATGTGGGTGGTGGTGGAGCCCCTTGTGACGGAGGGGGTGCTAGGTACTTACTGAGACTAGGAGGGTTGGATGTGGGAGGTGGTGGAGCCCCTTGTGACGGAGGGGGTGCTAGGTACTTACTGAGACTAGGAGGGTTGGATGTGGGAGGTGGTGGAGCCCCTCGTGATGGAGGGGGTGCTGAGGGAGCAGATCTGCTGGGTGGATTTTTCCTCCTCAGGGTACCATTACTAACATGCATCTTCTTTTTCCCTGGCCCTGCAAAAACAAAACCAAAATAAAAATTTTAAAATCTTATTTACAAGTAAAGAGAAAACTTTTCAATTTCTGTGTTTCATTTATTTCTTTTAAGTTAACCCCAATTTCAAACATTAGAGGCAGTTTTTAAGATTTTTTTATGACCCTGCTCTGAAATGGTGAAGAAATATTCTACATGGAGAATTTTTATAAAATGAATAGATAATAATGTAAAACACTGCTGACTTACGAGAATCCTTAGGAAGTCCTGGTCCTATACTGACATTTAACACTTTGCTTGATGGCTTCATCACAGCTACGTCCTGAGGCTGTCCTAGCTTACTAAACTTGAGGCATCTTGTACCACCTCCTCCCCAGCCTTCCTTCTTTATTGGAAATTCTAACCTGTAATTCAGTCATACAATGGTTGGTGCTGTAACCAGGATTCCTAGTATTTCTCATCGTGTCTTAATAGAGTTTGTATCTTAGCACAGGTGGTGTCTTAACAAAAATTATGTTAACAGATTGGGTATCTGAACAGAGGTGATGTCTTATCAGATTTTATGTCTTAACAGAACAGGTGTCTTAACAAAAGTGATGTCTTAACATAGCCAGTGTCTTAACACAGATGGTCTCCCACCAAAGGCAAATCACTTAATAAAGGCAATTTCTTAACAAAGGTTATATCCTATCAGAGCTGGTGTCTTAACAGAGGTTATTATTCAACAAAGGTGGTCTCTTAACAGAGGTGATTTTCTTAAAAGAGGAAGTACTTTAAAAGGTGTGGTTTGTTGGGATGAGTAAATGACACTTTATTAAGAAACATGATTAACACAGATTGTCTCTCCAGCATCTTTCAGAGTACTTTACCCTGTTATAGCCTTAAATTAGACCAACATCATTTTATCCTATCAGTAATATACACGACTCCTTAAAAAGAATCTCACGTGTCACTGAACTGTGTGCGCAGCTCCCTGCCAGTTTTGTCTTTGAAGCGTTTAGACAATGTAGAGAGGAATTCTGTCTTGAAAACTGATTCCAGTAAACTAGCATAGTCGTCCTGTATATGTAGGACGAACAAGTCATCTTGTAGGGTACTGAAATATAAATCTCTCTTTAAAATTTATATTGTGAAATGATTCTTATCTTCAGCTGTAAAATGTAAAATATCAAATTCCTCTGTCTTTTAAAATACTTTGGGCACTTTACAAACCAAAGCAGCATTTACAATGATGAAAAACACTGATTTTAAATAGATTTCTTTTTTGAAAAGTTCTAATTAGGCATTACAGAAAATTTCTTATTTTCTCGTGTACATTTCTCAAACAAACAACAGTTAGACACTGTTGTAAAACCCTGTTTCCCTTGAGTGCCTACCTCATACAAACTTGATCCTGTCATCCTTTAGTACCTACCTCATACAAACTTGATCCAGTTATCCTGGAGTACCTACCTCATACAAACTTGATCCTGTCATCCTTGAGTACATACCTCATACAAACTTGATCCTGTCATCCTTGAGTGCCTACCTCATACAAACTTGATCCTGTCATCTTTGAGTACATACCTCATACAAACTTGATCCTGTCATCCTTTAGTACCTACCTCATACAAACTTGATCCTGTTATCCTTTAGTACCTACCTCATACAAACTTGATCCTGTTATCCTTTAGTACCTACCTCATACAAACTTGATCCTGTCATCCTTTAGTACCTACCTCATACAAACTTGATCCTGTCATCCTTGAGTGCCTACCTCATACAAACTTGATCCTGTCATCCTTTAGTACCTACCTCATACAAACTTGATCGTGTCATCCTTTAGTACCTACCTCATACAAACTTGATCCTGTTATCCTTTAGTACCTACCTCATACAAACTTGATCCTGTCATCTTTGAGTACATACCTCATACAAACTTGATCCTGTCATCTTTGAGTACATACCTCATACAAACTTGATCCTGTTATCCTTTAGTACCTACCTCATACAAACTTGATCCTGTCATCTTTGAGCACCTACCTCATACAAACTCGATCCTGTTATCCTTTAGTACCTACCTCATACAAACTTGATCCTGTCATCTTTGAGTACATACCTCATACAAACTTGATCCTGTTATCCTTTAGTACCTATCTCATACAAACTTGATCCTGTCATCCTTCAGTACCTACCTCATACAAACTTGATCCTGTCATCTTTGAGTACATACCTCAAACAAACTTGATCCTGTCATCCTTTAGTACCTACCTCATACAAACTTGATCCTGTTATCCTTTAGTACCTACCTCATACAAACTTGATCCTGTCATCCTTCAGTACCTACCTCATACAAACTTGATCCTGCCATCTTTGAGTGCCTACCTCATACAAACTTGATCCTGTCATCCTTTAGTACCTACCTCATACAAACATGATCCTGTCATCCTTTAGTACCTACCTCATACAAACTTGATCCTGTCATCCTTTAGTACCTACCTCATACAAACTTGATCCTGTCATCCTTTAGTACCTACCTCATACAAACTTGATCCTGTCATCCTTTAGTACCTACCTCATACAAACTTGATCCTGTCATCCTGGAGTACCTACCTCATACAAACATGATCCTGCCATCTTTGAGTGCCTACCTCATACAAACATGATCCTGTCATCCTTTAGTACCTACCTCATACAAACATGATCCTGTCATCCTTTAGTACCTACCTCATACAAACTTGATCCTGTCATCCTTTAGTACCTACCTCATACAAACATGATCCTGTCATCCTTTAGTACCTACCTCATACAAACTTGATCCTGTCATCCTTCAGTACCTACCTCATACAAACTTGATCCTGTCATCTTTGAGTGCCTACCTCATACAAACATGATCCTGCCATCTTTGAGTGCCTACCTCATACAAACATGATCCTGTCATCCTTTAGTACCTACCTCATACAAACTTGATCCTGTCATCCTTTAGTACCTACCTCATACAAACTTGATCCTGTTATCCTTTAGTACCTACCTCATACAAACTTGAGTTACATTTTCTATTGGTATACTTCTTTTTATTACTTCCACCATTGTTCCCTTCTCAGGACCCTTCTTTATCTGTAAACAAAGACATATTGATGACTTTGCTGACAAGATAAATTTTCACTTCATTAAAATTCCTAGATCTTCACAAAATGATCCTGTGTTAAGTATATAATCCATGTATACATACATAAATATGGAAGCATTATTTTTATAATTTGTGTAATTCTGTAGATAATCTTAACTTGTCATAATTCATCAACTTTCTAATATGAAAAGACATTTTGTCTTCTATAATTTTCTAAACACTTCCCTTCTGAATACCGGTAGGTAGACACTTTGTCTTTTACAATTTTCAAATTAACCACTTCCCTTCCGACTAGGTAGACAGTCTCTCTTCTTCAGTTTTCAAACTTACCACTTCCCTTCCGACTAGGTACACATTTTTAGCTGTGAGGATAAGGTCTCGCTTTGCAATCTGTGGATAATTAACATGGTTGATAAGGATTTGAAATGGAAGTTACAGTTTTTCTACAATAAGCAGTATGACCAGTAATATTTCACAGCTCATTAAAATCTGTTGATAATTAACATGGTTGATAAGGATTTGAAATGGAAGTTACAGTTTTTCTACAATAAGCAGTATGACCAGTAATATTTCATTAAAATCTGTTGATAATTAACATGGTTGATAAGGATTTGAAATGGAAGTTACAGCTTTTCTACAATAAGCAGTATGACCAGTAATATTTCATTAAAATCTGTTGATAATCTGTATCTCTCATAATTCATCAACTATCTAATTTGACAAGCATCCTCAACATTGTTTCTCAAGCATCCTCAACATTGTTTCTCAAGCATCCTCAACATTGTTTGTCAAGCATCCTCAACATTGTTTCTCAAGCATCCTCAACATTGTTTCTCAAGCATCCTCAACATTGTTTCTCAGATAATGAAGATTGTGTAATGCCATAAATTTCATTAAATAAGTATTCTGTCCGAGCAAAACAATTGTAACTTTCTGAGTCTCTTGATCAAGCTTTGCTATCTCTAAGTCAATGGGATTGTAAAATTCTCCTGGTAAAGCCAAGCTTTGCTATCTCTAAGACAATGGGATTGTAAAATTCTCCGTGTAAAGTCAAGCTTTGCTATCTCTAAGTCAATGGGATTGTAAAATTCTCCTGGTAAAGTCAAGTTTTGCTATCTCTAAGTCAATGGGATTGTAAAATTCTCCTGAGTTATCCAAGTCTTCAAGTTACAAGATAATCACAATTAAATAAAACAGAGATTTGGTCAGAACCAGGTAAATCCTTCAATTTAAAAAGGATCTTTGTGTTATCAGATGTCATCATGCATATTTTTCCTAATGTGTGTTGTATGTAATTTAACCATCAGAGGAAATTTTATAATGAATGGATTGAATCACATGGTCATTACAATCAGGTTTGAAGACTGATTTCAGCAGTTGCAGATCATATTTTCCTTGATGCTTGCTGGTAATATTTTTCAGAGTAATGCATCTGCTTATTATTTCACGAAAGTTTTCAAGGCAGCTTCTTAAAGTATTTGAAATGTTTTGTATAAATGTGTTGATTGTTCTATAATAATACTTTATAGACAGTTCTTTCCAAAGGCATGATATTTTAATCATTTCCGGCTAAATTAATGTGATCGTAAAAATTTTGTCTGTGTCAAAATGAGATGTTTTGTAGATGTCCTTTTTTCATCCACAGCACGAAATTCCTATTCATTAACATAATTAGATTGTTTAAGAAACAAATCATAAAAATTTTGACCCATGAAAATTATCAGCTGTACCATATATGTAGAACCTCTGAAGAACAGGGGGACTAAAAGGGACACAGTTGGAATTTATACCTTCATGTAAAATCCTATAATATATTATAGATACATCTACGTATATTAAAAAAACAAGTTATTTCTGCTGGTACTGAGAAATATATGAGGTATTTAAATTTCTTTTTTATTTCAATGTCTTGTTTTATTTATCTAGTTAAGACTTGAGAGTTGATCAACTGATCAGAAATCGAATGCAAGTGTGTATGTGACAGGCATATTTCAATGCATCAAGACTAACCTTGAAACGCCTGTCAAATTTAAGCACTGTATCTGCAAATTCCACCCGTTCTCGCTTCCCTAATAACGCCCTGATTCCAGGATGATCATCGAGACCTAGATAGTCCCCAACAAAGTTTCTGTTCAAACTGAAGCGACGTCTCTCCTTCTTCTGGAACAAGATGTCTGAAGCTGCAACACAAAAACCAAGAAAACAGATTACTACATACTCATTTTCATTGACAAGATTTAAATTGAAGATATTATTTTTTAGACAATAAATTAACAAAGTCAACTTATCCTAGTATTGTAATATATCATATCAATCCTCCCTAAATCTGTAAGATTTGACTGAAATACAAATATCCAAAATATAATCAACAAAATTGAAAGTCCTCATTTCAAATCATTGTCAAATTCTTTCATTCTGGGTGTATAAATATCAAAAACACTTCATATACAAAATATAACCTATAAATTAAAACTAAAAGTGACTACATTATACAGAATACCCACCCTCCTCTCGCAGCTTGAAGTAGGTTTTGCGGGCATGATAGCGACGATATGCTTTCTGTATCTTCCTGGCATAGTGATCAAACTTCCGCTCTCTCATTTCTTCCAATAAAAATAGCTGCAACATAATTGTATTGAATATATATCACACATATACGTTAATGATAACGATGCTACTTCTGCACCAACAACTTCAGTTACGCACAAAAAAAAAATGAAGGTTGTGAAGACTTATCTTTAAAATTCCACTAAAAATCACTTCCCTTAAGATTTATGTGAGATTGACGTCCTTCAGATAATGATGTTGCTTCACTGACAGGTCCATGAGATCAGCACTACATCACACTTACAGATTCTGGATTTTTGACGAAGACTTTGGATTTGCCAAGCTGCCATTGGTCCTTGTCCATGTTGACTGTGTCCATGAGATGCTTGATTCCTTGTCTGGGGTCACCTCGCCACGTTGGCCAGGTTTCTGATGTCAAAATGGCATACCTGAAATTTTGGTGATAGAAATAATTCTATTTTACAAGATCATTCATTTAAAACACAAGATCATTCATTTAAAGTTTACATAGAGGTAGCGTAAGACTGGGGAAGTTTGGACATCCTTTAATCAGACAGGTTACAAAAGACTTTTAAAGTCACTGATTTAATGATAAAATTCAGAAGCAACAGAACACATAACAAACACACTATATAGCTGATACCTTTAAGTGATAATTATTCAGTAAACACTAGTTGTCACTCAAGAACAAAGCCTTACCTTCGTAAAAACTTTGAAAATTCCCTCCTGTATGCAAATCCAGCCCGTCGTACTCGTATATTCTCCTTTAGTCCCAGGTACTCGACTTGATGCTTTACTCTATCACACAAACAAGGATGGTTTTAATTGAAGTACTTTTAATTAGAACATTTTTCTTGTGGTATGTTGATATGACAAATTTGATATCCTATAATGACCAAATTTGATGGCTAAATGGACTGTGACTGTGATTAAATGTGTTTCTTAAACGTCAATACTAATGGCCTGGTAATAGTTACACCTTGTATATTAATGATGATAGTAACACTGGAAAGTATGTGCCCAGTTATTTTAGTTTATCGTGAATCTTTTGAAAATTTTAATCTGAATGCTGAACTTGCAATACATAATATAATGTTATTATTACGTAACTTAGGCAGCATGTCTCATAGACCATATATGGTCAGATGTGTTAACATTTCAATGCATTATCTGTGACACAAAAATGAAATATCTTCGCATTATCTATTCTATATTACATTTTAAATGTGAAAGTTTACAAAACCACTTTTGATAAAAATTCACAATGTTGCTCTTGGACATTTGTTTTTGTTCTATCATATTTTCTAATGGATTTCCAGTAAATTTCACGACTGTTTTATCTTTATATCCCCATTGTTCTCACCTGCTGTCCTCAAAGTCTCTGGGTTTTTTTGTTTCATTTGGTTTGATGCACCGGATATAATGAGGAGTGCATTTCATTAAGGTATCTACCAGCTTGTTGGCTTGAGACTGTAACACAGACCAAAATAACACCACATGACTTTAAATGCCAGTCAAAAAAAGTTTTCCCTACTTACAAAAATTATTTGAAATTGTTAGGTTTTCACTACAAATGTGATTTATTCTGTAAAAAATTCTGAACATTATGATTTATAATCAAAACCAGATTACACGAATGATCTGCCATGGCAACCACAGAGAAATTTATAATTGGTTTGTAAAGGGATGTGCTCCTATGACATAGATGTCCTATCAGTACAACTATTGGTACAGCACCTGAAACAGAATTCAACATCTGCCTGTACAATCAACCGTATAAGATCTGATATTTTAATAAAAATTTTGTAGTTAGATGGCCATAACTCTGGACAACAAGAAAACCTTTTTGGAGAGCATGAAAATAATTGACAATAAGTAAATCAGAACTGACCTGCATATTATCATTACACAGATAACAAACTACATTTATATCATCTGTCAGTAAATGAGCAGGAACAATGCTTTGATGTAAGGGCGCAATGACAGACAGTCCTTCACCATGAAACAGTAGGGGCTTATAGATAGTAACATTGTTTTAAAACTGATCTAGAAAGCAGTCATATCAGTCTCTGTAGCCTTTATGTTAGAGCTGGCTGTACATAACTTTATCTTAGAGCTGGCTGTACATAACTTTATCTTAGAGCTGGCTGTACATAACTTTATCTTAGAGCTGGCTGTACATAACTTTATCTTAGAGCTGGCTGTACATAACTTTATCTTAGAGCTGGCTGTACATAACTTTATCTTAGAGCTGGCTGTACATAACTTTATCTTAGAGCTGGCTGTACATAACTTTATCTTAGAGCTGGCTGTACATAACTTTATCTTAGAGCTGGCTGTACATAACTTTATCTTAGAGCTGGCTGTACATAACTTTATCTTAGAGCTGGCTGTACATAACTTTATCTTAGAGCTGGCTGTACATAACTTTATCTTAGAGCTGGCTGTACATAACTTTATCTTAGAGCTGGCTGTACATAACTTTATCTTAGAGCTGGCTGTACATAACTTTATCTTAGAGCTGGCTGTACATAATTATATCTTAGAGCTGGCTGTACATAACTTTATCTTAAAAGCTGACTACACCTGTATTATCATAGATCTGCTTGTACTTACCTTTATCGTTAAAGGTGATTACACCTGTATTATAATAGATCTGCTTGTACTTACCTTTATCTTAGAGCTGGCTGTACTTGGGCGACCTTTGGTTTGTTTACTAACATCCTCCGGGAATAGACTTCTGATATAGTCACTGAAAAAAAAATCTCATCATCAAATCCTCAACTTCTATACATTATCAGGGTAAAATCTAGGAATCATGGAAACAGGCTAAACATTAACTGCAGCTTGCTGTACTATAAACACCACTTTTTCTCCTACTTTCTTCAGGCCATATTTCCTGTGAGGTTGAGGTTTTGTGATTACAGGAAAAAAATATGCTTTCAAAACTTGATTTGTTCTATCTCATATTGAAGTGTGTGTAATATGTTTCGTCATACACAACAGATCGATCATGTCCTTGTATAATATTCTACTTCGACAACAAACACACATACCAAAACAGGTGTAATGAAAACAAAACTATGAAAGGAGATCATTCTTTTCAAGTTATCAATTTTATGGGTTTTTGTTAACCTATGCATGTTTGGACATATTTACACACTTTTTTACAATTTTGCATTGTTTGATAAATGTTGTTTTTATAGAACATAACATACAGTTATTTCAAAGATCATTGCCTACAGTTTATTTATAGAACATTACATATAGTTATTTCACAGATCATTGCCTACAGTTAATTTATAGAGCATAACATACAGTTATTTCACAGATCATTGCCTACAGTTAATTTATAGAGCATAACATACAGTTATTTCACAGATCATTGCCTACAGTTAATTTATAAAACATAACATTCAATTATTGAAGAGATCATAGCCTACAGTTAATTTATAGAGCATAACATACAGTTATTTCACAGATCATTGCCTACAGTTAATTTATAAAACATAACATTCAATTATTTCACAGATCATTGCCTACAGTTAATTTATAGAGCATAACATACAGTTATTTCACAGATCATTGCCTACAGTTAATTTATAAAACATAACATTCAATTATTGAACAGATCAGTTGCCTACAGTTAATTCATAGAATATTACCAACTGTTAATGAAAACTATTTATACACATTACTTACTTGCTACTTGACTGCATCAGTTGCACGAGATCTTTGAATAAAACATCCCTGTTCCTTTCACAGAAACCATCCACGTCGTATGTCACCTTTATATAAAAAGACAGTAAATATTTATACACAATGAGGAATGACAATCATTTAATTAATATTCTATAACTTTGTTTGCTTGCAGGGTTCATCCTCCATGAACAGCTGTAGTCATTTTGAGGCGAGTCTCTTTATGGTAGCTGGTGACTATCTCACTGAACAACATATGGGAGGTCCATTGCATGCAATTTCACAGCAATTAGGATAAAGTGCTTTGCTAAAGGACACAACCACAGACTGGTTCATTTATCAGCTTCCTGTCAAACATCAATTGCCATGGGTATGAAGTGTTGAACTACACACATTCAATCTTCATCTCAGATCATGTAGGCCAAAACTCTTCTAACTCATTGAGCCATGGTGACCCCTATTCTTTTAGATCAACTGATATTTTGATGTAAATATATAAAATTTGCTATCATGATTTTTTTTGTCTTATAACAAATAATGTACAAAGAACAAATTTACAAACCTTTCAAAGTTGAGGGCTGATTTATATGTTGTGAGCCTCATATTTAAGTTTGACTTTTGGGAGACATATTGAATTATTTTTCAACATTACTCCCATCAGTATTTATACACTTTCCCTAGTGTTGCTACCATATCAGGATGGATATCATTAGGTGCTAGACCTTTCTTATAAAAATACTGAATCACTGCTCTTTCAGTGATTTTGTCTATTTTACAGACATCACTTGCCATGTTTACTTTACAGTGCTACCTCTTTGACATAACCTGACCAAATGTCACAAGTCTTGGGATGCACAGCCTTAGATAGTCAGGGATTACCGGTAGTAGAAAAAGGGAAAAAGGAAATCCCTGCTTAACAATACAAGGCCCACAACTTATCAATTAGTCCTCGTACATGTTGCCATTCTCTGATTGCAGGAAACATTATCAGACTTAAACATTACCATGGACTTTTCGGAAATCAATGCTGATTTGGACAATTCAATGGATTACAATTCAAAACAATAAAACTAAAATAAAAACCATTTCAGGCAGACTGCTCAACACTAGTTTGCCTCCATATTCCGGATCACCCATCAATATGATACTAAAAGTATCACAGTATTCCTTAAGAATGTTTCACCTACCTTTCCATCAGAAACAAACCAGTAAACAAATAGCAATGGTTACCTTGCCAGCATAGTGATGAATGATGAAGCCCATTCCGCTACCCTGATAGTGGTCGTGTGACCCAATGCCAGATCCCAGTTTCTACAGAAAGAGAACACATAGCAATTCTTAATTCTTTTGGCAATTTTTTTTTGTTACATTGAATATTGATTTAAATAGTCAAAACAATTCTAATTTAAAGGAAACAGCCTAATGTCTCCTTTGTAGCATACCAGTCACAGTGAACTGTCTCCTTTGTAATTTACCTATCACAGTGAACTGTCTCCTTTGTAATTTACCTATCACAGTGAGCTGTCTCCTTTGTAGCATACCAGTCACAGTGAGCTGTCTCCTTTGAAGCATACCTGTCACAGTGAACTGTCTCCTTTGTAATTTACCTATCACAGTGAGCTCTCTCCTTTGTAATTTACCTATCACAGTGAACTGTCTCCTTTGTAGCATACCAGTCACAGTGAGCTGTCTCCTTTGTAGCATACCTGTCACAGTGAACTGTCTCCTTTGTAATTTACCTATCACAGTGAACTGTCTCCTTTGTAATTTACCTATCACAGTGAACTGTCTCCTTTGTAGTTTACCTGTCACAGTGAGCTGTCTCATTTGTAGCATACCAGTCACAGTGAACTGTCTCCTTTGTAATTTACCTGTCACAGTGAGCTGTCTCCTTTGTAGCATACCTGTTACAGTGAGCTGTCTCCTTTGTAATTTACCTATCACAGTGAGCTGTCTCCTTTGTAATTTACCTATCACAGTGAGCTGTCTCCTTTGTAATTTACCTGTCACAGTGAGCTGTCTCCTTTGTAGCATACCTGTCACAGTGAGCTGTCTCCTTTGTAGCATACCAGTCACAGTGAGCTGTCTCCTTTGTAATTTACCTGTCACAGTGAGCTGTCTCCTTTGCAGCAAACCAGTCACAGTGAACTGTCTCCTTTGTAATTTACCTATCACAGTGAGCTGTCTCCTTTGTAGCATACCTGTCACAGTGAGCTGTCTCCTTTGTAGCATACCAGTCACAGTGAGCTGTCTCCTTTGTAATTTACCTGTCACAGTGAGCTGTCTCCTTTGTAGCATACCAGTCACAGTGAACTGTCTCCTTTGTAATTTACCTGTCACAGTGAGCTGTCTCCTTTGTAGCATACCAGTCACAGTGAGCTGTCTCCTTTGTAATTAACCTGTCACAGTGAACTGTCTCCTTTGTAGCATACCAGTCACAGTGAACTGTCTCCTTTGTAATTTACCTGTCACAGTGAACCGTCTCCTTTGTAATTAACCTGTCACAGTGAGCTGTCTCCTTTGTAGCATACCAGTCACAGTGAACTGTCTCCTTTGTAATTTACCTGTCACAGTGAACCATCTCCTTTGAAATTAACCTGTCTCTGTGAACTGTCTCCTTTGTAATTAACCTGTCACTGTGAACTGTCTCCTTTGTAATTTACCTGTCACAGTGAACTGTCTCCTTTGTAACATACCTGTCACAGTGAACTGTCTCCTTTGTAATTAACCTATCACAGTGAACTGTCTCCTTTGTAAATAACCTGTCACTGTGAACTGTCTCCTTTGTAATTTACCTGTTATAGTAAACTGTCACCCTTGTGATTTACCTATCCAGTGAACTGTCACCTTTGTAAGTTACCTGTCACAATGAACTGTCACCCATGTGATTTACCTGTCATAGTGAACTGTCACCTTTGTAATTTACCTGTAAAAGTGTATTGTCCGCTCCCTCTGACACTGCATGCATTGTGGCACACACATCATCGAGGATACACATGATGCCGGGAGGCTGTTTAGTCTCTATGACGTCACAGACGACCTTGTTGTTGAAATATTCAATAGGTGTCCATTTGATTCCTTCTTGTACATATTCCTCCTGAAAACATTAAGTTATTTAACACTTCCTGTACATACTTCCTGAAAACATTAAGTTATTTAACACTTTCTGTACATATTCCTCCTGAAAACATTAAGTTATTTAACACTTCCTGTACATATTCCTCCTCAAAAAATTAAGTTATTTAACATTTCATTATATCCAAAACAAACAAATGGAATATTCAGACTTTTGTGCACTATCTGTTTTGCTATTTTTTAATTACTTTAGCAATAAAATCAGGTGTGGATCAAAATAGCATGCAGCACTGCCTGAAAAACTAACCATAAGCTTAATTTGGCCTGAGAAAAAACTTATTTTTTGAAATAATGAGTTTATGTAAGATATACAGAATTGCTGAGTATAGAGTTATTGTAAAAGTGATCTGTTCATTGATTCACACCAATGTAAAGATTAAAAATGCAGTTCTCTCACCTGTTCAGCCTTTAAGGTGAGCTCTATAAAAATCTGCTGGAGTTTTTCATTGACATAATTAATACAGAACTGCTCAAATCCATTCTTCTCGAAAATTTCAAACCCGTATATGTCAAGGATTCCAATGTTGATTTCTTCTTTATCTTTCCTCATAGCACGATTCACTGCCTGAAATATATATAAAACCATGTAATTCTTATCCAAATCCTGTTAGTCATTTGGTTACTAATAGGGACAAGAGGAAGATACATTTGAAATTTGATCCATCCAGTTCTTTTCACTAAACTTTCATTAAAAATCTTTCATAATCAAAATCCAAGATGGCAGGTTGTCAGTCCCAAAATCAAACAAAGTACACAAATAGGGACCTAAGGGAACCTTTATAAGAAATTGAAGAAATATTCATAAAGTACTTCTCGATAAATAACAGCTGTAACAAAATTCATTGTCAAAATCCAAGATGGCCACTAGTCGGTCATTTTGTTTTTCTGGTGAGTCCCCAAAATCAAAGAAGCATAACTTAAGATCAAAGGGGACCTAAATATGAAACTTGATACAGATCCATCAAGAGTTATACAATAAATAGTGGTAGAAATAGTAGTAGAAATGATAATACTGATATAAAGAAGGGGGACAGTCAAATGATGGATGACAGATACAATGTGAGTTGAAAAGCCCACTAGCTAATAAACAACCCCCTCCATGACCGAAAAAAAGTGAGAATACTTCCTGAACAAGAAAGCAAATCGTAATGAAATCTGAATTCAAAATATTCTCCAGTATTGCAACCCTTACCTCCACTAAGTAGTCAAACATACGACTGTACAGAGCCTTGGCTAGGGCATCACGTGAGAACTCTGCCTGCTCCACATTCAATGTTACATGAATGACCTCTGATTTCCCTCCCCATTTACTGTCCATGTCTCGACTGGTTAGTTTTGTCCTCAGGTACTCCTTGTTCACGCCAAGAAGGTAAGATGGGTATTCAAGAACTGTAATCGGAAAGGACATAGTGAGGTCTTGGATGACATAAGATTTATTTGCCTACGAACAAGCAAGTGCCCTTGGTTTTTTACCAACTCTTGAGAAAAAATGAGGAGAAAAACAAAAATATTCTAATATAGGATCCATATAATTTAATTTCAAATTAAAATACCTACAGAAGTAAAGGTGAGAGTGAATGAAACAAAATGGGATGTATAAATGTATTAACTTACAATCCTCATTGGCCACTTTAGCATAGTTTCCATCCTCCTGGAAGGAAATGTTTCCTAAGTGAAGAATCCCTGCCACTACACAAATCACATCCTCAATAGTCTCATCTGACACCCCTACTGTGTGCATGGCATGCTGAAAACAAATCAAAATCTCAGAAAGATTGTTACGCTGATCAACAGATTAACATCAATTAACAACATGACAACATGTGCCTGTGTTAAGACAATGACTATAATTTACAGGCGATATTTATGTGTCTAGTAGTGATTAGTGTCAAAACTGGACAGACTTATCCATAACTGTCTTTCTGATGACAGAGAAGTTCAAAATTCCATGTACAATGAGAACATATTAACATCGAGACGGCGGGTATAATCAGTCATCAATAGACTCAGCCAACTTAGAATTTACCGAAGTCATTAAGATGACAATTTTGGTGTAACCTTGATGACCTAGATCTTGACCTTACCATAGTATCCTTATACTCGGCGACATCATCAGTACCATCCACTGTGTAGGTACCACTTTGATTAAGGTACATGTAATAATCTGGTGTGGTGATACCAAGACTCTCTGGAATAAGATTTCAATAGCATGATTTTATATCATAAATACAAACATAGATCATAATAGTTATTTTCCCTACTATAAGATTTCATACACTGAATTATGCCTGGGAAAGTTAAGTGGTTTGAGTTTATATATATAAATAAATCCTATTAATCAGAAAAGTCTGACAGAAGTTCCACTGAGCATCTTTTTGTCTATTCCATCAATGAAACTGGACCCTGAAATATTGGGTTTGCATTGATGACATACCTTTCTGAGCTGCATCAGTTCCAGCACATAACTGGTAAAATATATGGAAGTTTCTCTCACTGTTGTTTTGATTTACGACACGGGACTGTAATTAACAAGAGGACATTGTTACTGCATACCCCTGGAGTAATATCTCCTTCATTTGTGATTCTACAGGAATTTATGGAAAATTAGTGATATTCTTGAAGTAATAGCTCAAAGGATATAAATCATCTGATTTGTACCTTAAAAAGAAGACTTTATCAATCATTTAAATTTGTGTTGACTCAATAGACAATGGGTCTCTTGATCACTGAGAAAATGTTGTGTATATTGAAAAATTGATGCCAGACAACATGACAGAGATGACAGAGGATGCATAACAGCTAAAGCTAACAAGCCTTCTGGCAGAGGAGCTAAAAATAGTTGCACAAAACAAAATTATTAATGTGAATTATTCTATCTTAATTTTTTAAGAATTACTTCAGCAAATCAGTAATTATCATATGGTGAACACCCCAGATTATAGTATACATACCTTCTCAAGTAGGAAGTTAGATATTTTACCACCATCTGGCTCTCCTCCTCTACTGAACTGGATTTCTACATATTTTCCCTAAAAATAAAACAGGATAGTGATAGAATAGAACTTCTATTATATTGACTTTATAAACTGGAGAAAATGTGCCATAATATCATGATAGTGATATAGAGTGTACTTACAAATCGACTGGAGTTATTGTTGCGAACTGTCTTGGCATTCCCAAAAGCTTCTAACAATGGGTTTGATTCAAGGATAACATCTTTGACTCTCTGTAAATATTAAAATGTGGCTTTAGGAACAACAAAATATATCTAAAATATTACATATGCCTTCATCTTCTCTTTCATAAAATAGAACTAGACTCAAAGTCAAACTTGGTCTCCTGATTTTTACCTGATTCAGTTTTAATTGACCGCCATGTGACTATCATGATTTCATACCAATAAATTCCATAACATCAACGTATTACCTGGAAATATTGGACCTAAAAACCTATTCAAAGTTAGAGAGACACTAAATGTTTCCATCAATTTATAATTGATAATAATAATGAATAAACTCACGATTTCAGCATTTAACTGTCTGTAAGTGAAATTATCTTCAGTTCATTTCTAAGTCAGGATATGTGGCTGTAACAACATTTTTCCATTTAAGAGATCAGTCATTGTAAGCAGACCTGTAATATCTAAACTCTCCTGATATCACTATGAGGTTTACAATGTAATAACAGACCTGTAATATCTAACCCCTCCTGACATCACTATGAGGAGGTTTACAATGTAATAACAGACCTGTAATATCTAACCCCTCCTGACATCACTATGACGAGTTTTACTATGACAGATCTGTAATATCTAACCCGTTCTGACATCACTATGAGGTTATTTACCTTTACTTTATCTCCCCCTCCAGATACTTTTGCTATGAAGCCCATGATAAATTTAGCAGCTACTGTCTTTCCAGCACCACTCTCTCCACTGCAATGAAATATCAAATATATCAAGTGTTAAAATTTTATTAATAGTGCTATGTAGTACAGAAAGCAAAGATTAAAAAAGAACCAATGCCTGTCGCGTTTGCATATATGTAGTATGTTCACTTGAGAATGGACACAATAGATATGTAGAAAAAGTAAAACATTATATAAAGGAGTATTCTCAACACTAACTAGCTTCACAATTACACCAAATATATTCAGGAATCCATGTGGGTCTGTAGGTTGTCACAGAGAAACTAAATTTAGAGTGAAATCGGCATGACCTATCACCAGTGTCACACAATAGACTGATTGTTTATGTAATAATGGGAAAGATTTTGAGCTAAGAGACAACAATTCAGATGATACAGCATCCCCAGCTTTATAGTCAGAAGGAGAATTAATCTATGACAAACTGCTGGGATATCAGAGGAAACAGACAAAAGATGAAACAGGACTTTTAACAGATAATTGTTACATGGTATCAGGTTTAATTTGTTGATTCTTACCAAATAACATTATTCAAATCATTATCACCATTCTACATCAATAAATTAAGAATCTGAGTTATCATACTTAATAACTATTGTACCACATTGAGGGTACCTTAGGGACTACAAATCTGAGTTATCATACTTAATAACAATTGTACCACATTGAGGGTACCTTAGGGACTACAAATCTGAGTTATCATACTCAATAACAATTGTACCACATTGAGGGTACCTTGGGGACTACAAATCTGAGTTATCATACTCAATAACAATTGTACCACATTGAGGGTACCTTAGGGACTACAAATCTGAGTTATCATACTTAATAATAATTGTACCACATTGAGGGTACCTTGGGGACTACAAATCTGAGTTATCATACTCAATAACAATTGTACCACATTGAGGGTACCTTAGGGACTACAAATCTGAGTTATCATACTTAATAACAATTGTACCACATTGAGGGTACCTTAGGGACTACAAATCTGAGTTATCATACTCAATAATAATTGTACCACATTGAGGGTACCTTAGGGACTACAAATCTGAGTTATCATACTTAATAATAATTGTACCACATTGAGGGTACCTTAGGGACTACAAATCTGAGTTATCATACTTAATAATAATTGTACCACATTGAGGGTACCTTAGGGACTACAAATCTGAGTTATCATACTTAATAATAATTGTACCACATTGAGGGTACCTTAGGGACTACAAATCTGAGTTATCATACTTAATAATAATTGTACCACATTGAGGGTACCTTAGGGACTACAAATCTGAGTTATCATACTTAATAATAATTGTACCACATTGAGGGTACCTTGGGGACTACAAATTAATAACAATTGTACCACATTGAGGGTACCTTGGGGACTACAAATCTGAGTTATCATACTTAATAACAATTGTACCACATTGAGGGTACCTTGGGGACTACAAATCTGAGTTATCATACTACTAACAATAACATTGAGGGTACCTTGGGGACTACAAATCTGAGTTATCATACTCAATAACAATTGTACCACATTGAGGGTACCTTGGGGACTACAAATCTGAGTTATCATACTTAATAACAATTGTACCACATTGAGGGTACCTTGGGGACTACAAATTGAATCTCTGACCTAATGAGTCAAAACTTACAAAATCAGTTACAATTAATATATAGAAAGTATTCCACCTACTTAATGTCTGAAACTGTTGAGATCACTCTTTCCTAGGATGTTTTAGTTCTTAGAAATATCTAAGAGGATTATCACTTTCTTTCCTTATTTGTTTTGACTGTGTCACAGTCTCTATCAAGAATTCCATCTTTTATGAAAAATCACACAAGATGTTAGCAGTCTGCCATAAGTCAACATTCAGTCTGAGTTGTTTTTAGCAAACATTGACATACACAACATTTCCATATCTGTACTTACATATACAGAGTGTATAAAACCTGTGATAGGAGTGACCTATGCATCAATTTTATCTAATAACAACAGCTGTCACATGCTCTATCAAGAGTTTCCCATTTTATAAGTGTAAGATAAAATACAGCTTGTTATTTATGTTTATCACCTGACTTGACTGCATCCAACAGTGCTTCCTGCATCTCTTCTCATGATGGTGGCCGTTATCAAGGAAGACAGGCAATGTACAATATAAGTGTTGCATTACTTTCAAGCACGCGAGGAAGTAGCCTGTCTGTACCTATACTGTCTAACTTTAAAGATATTCTGCACCTGAATGTAATCATGCAAGAGTTGTTTACATGACCTTAAGTTGTCCTGTGCAACTCTGACCTGTGCTGTGACTACATACAAAATGTAACCATGACCTATACTCTTTGTCCTTGACTATCATATCTGACCTTGACCTGTTTTTTTCCTGTATGTACTAAGGAGCTACGACTTGTACAAAATGTGACCATGTTCTGTACTTAATCTGACCTTTACCTGTACTATACCTGTAAGTCAAATGGAACCATGACTTGTATGATATATGACCTTGACCTATATACCAACCTGATGATGACACACTGGTTCTCCATGTCAATCAACATGTTTCTGTACATATTGTCAGCCAGTGCATACACATGGGGTGGATTTTCATACTGGGCCTGTAAAACCATCAAAATTCATTATAGTAAACAGATTTCATATCATACATGATATATATTTTTTAAACAAATCACCACAATGATCAGCAACCATGAGAAGCAGTTGTCAGTATATATTAAATACAGACACTAAACACTTACCGCTCCTTGATACTGCTCCACTTCCCGATCAGTAAAGATCTTGAGCTGTTTGAAGGGATTAACAGACACTAACACTGGACCAATGTAGGTCTGGCTATGGTCAAGGAAACTATCAGAAATCTATCACAACAACATAGCAGGTCAATGGATCACAATTTACTCAAGAAAAAATGTTCTGATTTTAAAACAAATGATTGTAACTAAAAGACCATGAATTTGTAGTACCCACAACATGAGACCAAATCCTTGTTTTGTTTCCTGTAATGATAGCTTTAATTTTAAATTGATAAAATAGCTCAAGAATTAAAAAGAAAGTCATTAGTATTTCTATGTTAAAACCATAATACGTACTAGGAAAATAAGACGGTGTCAAAATCATATATCTGAGAGCTTTAGTCACAAATCAGTCACTAATTATGATAACTGTAGTCATTGATCAGTCACTTAATTAAAATCATCCTCTTAACCACTTATGTTAATGATACATGTTCACCAAAGTAAAGTCAGAACTCAGTAACAATACCATATATGGTCATTGATTAATTTGTCTCCAATTATCTTGGTCCAATTCTCCTCCTTTTACTGTAGAAATAGGCATGTCATGACATTTTATTGTCTTTATATACCAAGATAACATTTATTGTTGTAAAAGCCACATTTATTAGATTCAAAATCTTACAAGTGAAGTAGAAGTTGATTTAAGTTTGTAATACAAACTACTGGCTTTTTGATTCAGAACATGTGTCAACATTCAAATCTGTGATCAGTGTATTTACCGGTGAACTACAATCTCAGACACTGAAACAACAAGTGTAAAATGTTAGTACAAGGCCATACATGTAATAGGTGACAAACAGATATTTTATAACACCAGATTTACATGTATATAATGTATACTACTACATCTACAAGCAGCTATTGCCATAGCTACTGGCATTATGCACAAATGTTAATGCATGTGCAGTGATCATATTTACATGTATCACACTTCTATAAAGTTCACAGTCAAGTTAAAATTGTACACAATATATATAGCTGTCAGACACAATTACTGTTGTCAACTATCTATATCCCAGGACTACAGATGCGCGATGAGTAATAAGCTCTGTATCCGTCCGGTGATGACTAATTTCCCATGTATCTAACAGACCTAGAACAAGCCATACATTCAGAATGATTTTTTTTTAATCAAACAGTGTCAATTCACAACTATTACAAAAGGCATGTAATAAATATAGAATTTAGATTTTATACATGAACAACTTATATTTTATCTTTACTACAGCAAATTAGTTCTTTCTATTTTCTAAATGATCATACAGTTGAAAACAATATAAATACAATCAAGCTTCACTGGTTAATTTAACAGAAATAATAATAGACCACTTACAGCAAATATGATAGGTGTTATCTTGAAACCTACTTATCTAAATATGACCAGGACCTTTTGTGTTACTTTCAAAACTATTCAAAACTTATAAGTTCAAAATGATTTTATGTCAAAATGATCAGGTTCATTCGGGAGTTGATAGAGGTAGTTTTATAGTCTGTATCTTACACAGGTAGTCAAGGTGTTGATAGAGGTCGTTTTATAGTCTGTATCTTACACAGGTAGTCAAGGTGTTGATAGAGGTAGTTTTATAGTCTGTATCTTACACAGGTAGTGAAGGTGTTGATAGAGGTAGCTTTATTGTCTGTATCTTACACAGGTAGTCAAGGTGTTGATAGAGGTAGTTTTATAGACTATCTTACACAGGATGTCAAGGTGTTGATAGAGATAGTTTTATAGTCTGTATCTTATAACTGGTAGTCAAGGTGTTGATAGAGGTAGTTTTATTGTCTGTATCTTACACAGGTAGTCAAGGTGTTGATAGAGGTCGTTTTATAGTCTGTATCTTACACAGGATGTCAAGGTGTTGATAGAGGTCGTTTTATAGTCTGTATCTTACACAGGTAGTCAAGGTGTTGATAGAGGTAGTTTTATAGTCTGTATCTTACACAGGATGTCAAGGTGTTGATAGAGGTAGTTTTATAGTCTGTATCTTATAACTGGTAGTCAAGGTGTTGATAGAGGTAGTTTTATAGTCTGTATCTTATAACTGGTAGTCAAGGTGTTGATAGAGGTAGTTTTATAGTCTGTATCTTATAACTGTATCTTATAACTGGTAGTCAAGGTGTTGATAGAGGTAGTTTTATAGTCTGTATCTTATAACTGGTAGTCAAGGTGTTGATAGAGGTAGTTTTATAGTCTGTATCTTACACAGGTAGTCAAGGTGTTGATAGAGGTCGTTTTATAGTCTGTATCTTACACAGGAAGTCAAGGTGTTGATAGAGGTAGTTTTATAGTCTGTATCTTACACAGGTAGTCAAGGTGTTGATAGAGGTCGTTTTATAGTCTGTATCTTACACAGGTAGTCAAGGTGTTGATAGAGGTCATTTTATAGTCTGTATCTTACACAGGTAGTCAAGGTGTTGATAGAGGTCGTTTTATAGTCTGTATCTTATAACTGGTAGTCAAGGTGTTGATAGAGGTAGTTTTATAGTCTGTATCTTACACAGGAAGTCAAGGTGTTGATAGAGGTAGTTTTATAGTCTGTATCTTAAAACTGGTAGTCAAGGTGTTGATAGAGGTAGTTTTATAGTCTGTATCTTACACAGGTAGTCAAGGTGTTGATAGAGGTAGTTTTATAGTCTGTATCTTACACAGGTAGTCAAGGTGTTGATAGAGGTAGTTTTATAGTCTGTATCTTACACAGGTAGTCAAGGTGTTGATAGAGGTAGTTTTATAGTCTGTATCTTACACAGGTAGTCAAGGTGTTGATAGAGGTCGTTTTATAGTCTGTATCTTACACAGGTAGTCAAGGTGTTGATAGAGGTCGTTTTATAGTCTGTATCTTACACAGGTAGTCAAGGTGTTGATAGAGGTCGTTTTATAGTCTGTATCTTACACAGGTAGTCAAGGTGTTGATAGAGGTCGTTTTATAGTCTGTATCTTACACAGGTAGTCAAGGTGTTGATAGAGGTCGTTTTATAGTCTGTATCTTACACAGGTAGTCAAGGTGTTGATAGAGGTAGTTTTATTGTCAACAAATCAAACAAAAAATTAGTGTACAAAATGGCATTGATGTCATCTTTGCAGGACAATAGCGACATCTATAGTGGCCAGGGGTACCTATATACATATGAGCATTCTTTGTTTGTTTGATTTCTATACACATAATCAATAAAGAAAATAAGAACACAATCTACATTTGAAAGCATTTTGAAAGGAAATGGAGCTGTATTTGTTCATATACATGAAAATAACTTAATTTTGATGTATATGCTATATAAGGATACATATATGCAATCTTCCATGAAGCGCTTCTTGAGGTTGTCCAGAATGGCTGACTCCGAAATTTTCTGGAGGAGCACCATGTCGTCGACACCACTGGTCTTGACATTGTGGCTCTGCCAATGGTACGGCTGAAGGAGAGAATGCCAACAAAATGTGAAAAAAGAAAAAAAAAAGACAACTATTTCAACATGGGGAGCAACTCCAGTTATCAAAAGTTAATAAGCAATCAGTGGTTGCCATACAATTAATGTTTTTATAAAAGTCATGATAAATCAATATTTTATGTATTCAAATTCAAAAATATTATTTACTTTATTAATTACTTCTCATTTATCGAACAATTTTTCAAAATTAAAAGATGATTGTCTGGTTAGACTGCTTGACGCGATAGATTACAATTAAGTTTTACATAGATGTATATAACTGTTTATGTAATGGTCTTAATTAGCACCATTCCTGATTTTCCATTTTCATTAGGTGACTTTTTTACATGTCAAGTTTTCTCTTCAGCATCTTTTAACCACAAGGGCCTGTAACAATGTTCATCTTCTAGTATACCATATACAAGCCCCCAGAAACATTGTTACAGGCCCCTGTAGTCTTAACAGTCACTGTTACTTAATGCTAATTATGAAAATCAATACATATTTATATATAACAAAGACATCTCATTAAAGTAATTTATATCAAGTTGTCATGCTAGCTGTATAAACCATTATACTGAAACAGTTATAGTTAGTAACATCACATCACACTAATATGACATCACCTATAGTGGTCGTGCTAGCTAAGGACATAAAGACACATATTAAATTATTTCTAGGATTAGTACAACTAAATCATATCACACTTACACATGTTGTCTACAAAATGCTTACCATAAACATTTACTTAGTGCAGATTTTGACATTTCATTTACATGAAGGACAGAATTAATATAATGAAGACTTCAATCACCGAACTAGATAAGTAATTGTTTGACAGCACAAATCAACACCAATTGCTCAGTCAAAGCCACAGTGAATATACTATTAATATATCATCACCCTGACTGTAACAAATCTAAATATAATCTGCCTATTAGTACAAAGTGAGAGGCTTAAATGTCACGGCCAATCAAAAGCTATGGCAGCCATGTTGGATTATCAAACTAACAAATGAATTTGTTGTCCTATACTCATCAAAAAGAACACCTTTTTCTTTTTTATCCTACAACTACCACAACAATCAGGTGATGTTTGAAACAGTGTACACTTAATTTCTCACCCAGGGGACTTTACAACATAAAAGTTGACCTGAATTTTCAACTTTGCTGGTCATTTTAATGTCAACATTCTAGGTCAACGAAGATTTTCTTTCAGAGTCTGTCCTGTATGAATATTTTTACAGTGTTGACCAACAGAAGACCAAATTGGTAAAATGTTTGATCAGGACAATTCTACTGAAACAAGGAATGCAAACTATCAAAGTATAAAATCTCATTGTTTTCTTGATGAGCTTCAGTAAAATCTTTTAAAAATAGTCACAATATGATAAACTTCCTGAACAGAACAGCATGCACAGTATACAACAATGCATAAGCTTACTGCTTCATATCCGAGAGGTTCAAGGAGCAACTACCCAAGTAGTCGAGTTGAATTAGATGATTGTATAAGTAGCTGATCCTTAGAGGTAGTCCATCAGAATTGTTTGTTTTACAGCTCTATTTATTGGGTCAATGGCATAGGTTAAGAGTACATACATGACATTGTTAAGAGAGCAAATCAAACTCTCAGAACCCTTGAATTGAAAATATACTTGATCTATATTTACACGGATTTGTTTCAGGATGTCAAATCAGGGAAGAAAAAAAGCAATATAAAAAAAAGAGATTCAACAGGCAGTAAAATGCAGGATTTCAACCTAAACGGTTTGAAAAATACCCCATGCATCCAATTTTATATCATGATGGCTGACAGTGAGACTGCTATGTAAACCAGTTACATAGACTAGCATCTTCACCACTTTTACAGACAGCCATGTTAACCAGTTACTCAGACTGCTGTGCTTACAACTATACTGACAGACATGTTCATAACTTATATAGACTGTTGTGTTAACCAGTGTCACGGAGTGCTGTGATAACCAGTATCACAGACTGTTGTGTTGACTTGTGATACAGAATGTTGTGTTAACCAGTGATACAGACCGTTGTGTTTGCAAGTAACTAAGATTGCTGTTAACCAGTGTCACAGACTGCTATGTTAAGCAGTGACACAGACTGCTGTGTTAACCAGTGTCACAGACTGCTATGTTAAGCAGTGACACAGACTGCTGTGTAAACCAGTGACACAGAAAGTTGTGTTAACCAGTTAAACAGACTGCTGTGTTAACGAGTGTCACAGACTGTTGTGTTAACCAGTGATACAGACTGTTGTGTTAACCAGTGTCACAGACAGTTGTGTTAATCAGTGTCACAGACTGTTGTGTTAACCAGTGGTACAGACAGTTGTGTTAACCAGTGTCACAGACTGTTGTGTTGACTTGTGATACAGACTGTTGTGTTTACAAGTGACTCAGATTGTTGTGTTAACCAGTGTCACAGACTGCTATTTAAGCAGTGTCACAGACTGTGGTGTTAACCAGTGTCACAGACTGCTGTGTTAACCAGCATCACAAACTGTTGCGTTGACTTGTGATACAGACTGTTGTGTTAACCAGTGATGCAGACAGTCATGTTTACAAGTGATACCGATTGCTGTGTTAACCAGTGTCACAGACAGTTGTGTTAACCAGTTTCACAGACAGTTGTGTTAACCAGTGTCACAGACAGTTGTGTTAACCAGTATCACAGACTGTTGCGTTAATCAGTGTCACAGACTACTGTGTTTTTTATGGACTACCATGTTAACCAGTTGAACAGAAAGACATGTTTACCAGTTAAACAGAAAGACATGTTTATCAGTTAAACAGAAAGACATGTTTACCAGTTTCAAAGGACTCTGTCATCTGATACTCTATAACAAGCCAAAAATTACATTTTCTACATGGACATCTGTTGATGTTGATGTCATGTGCATATAGACACTTTTGGTACAATTTTTACCAATGATCAAAAAAACTAATTAGCAACTGAGATGTTATAACATGCTGATTGATCTAACTGACATCATGGTGTAATCACATGTTTATTATCACTATAGTGAAAAACACATTTTGCCCAATATGCTATCCTCATTTGATTTTGATAGCATATAAACATCACTAACATGCTGAAAAGGATATCAAAGATATAGCCAGGAAATCAAAGTTGCATTGGTTTGGTTTTTTTTTTTTCTTTTCATTATTATAATTTTTCTTTTTCAATACAAATTTTAATGTGATTTTGTTCTGGAATAATTGCTCCATGTTAAGAGTTTACTTTTCCTAAAAAAATATTTATTTTTGATTTGTTATTGAAGATGTATCAGTAAATAACAATTATAAATGCAAATATTTGTGGACTCTCATCTTCCTCTGACATTTCCTATTGTGTATATACTGCAGGTGTAATTAACTAGTGTAAACTTGACAAACTTAGTCAGGTGTCTACCTTACCAACAGTAATAAATCACTTTGAACTAAAACTGTAACATCAGGAAATTATACATTCTGATCAAATACAAATAATACTGGTATGTACAGCTAATACAGAACATCTGCTTTAATATTTAGCCAATGAAAGTAAATAGATCTCTTATCACTACCGGTAGACATACTGAATAACTGATCTGTCTACTTCCTTGAACAGTGTTATCACTCAGAAGCTTGGTTTACTTATATCATGATTCCACACCTATTAAACATTCACCAGGTTACCATTTAAGTACCACTATCCAAATCCATTAGATCAATAACTGTAAATGTCAGAACAATGTCTGTATTCTAGGCATTTAATACAATACCATTAGAAAATGCTGCTTTAATATTAATATACTTGATTATACACAACTAATATACAATGTATTAGGTCCCACACCAGGAAATATTTCAGATATACTAAAAATACTATATTCAATTTTTCTTAACAAGCCATCTTGATCTCAAGGGATCTTAATATTCATCTTTTATTAGATCTATGTGAGTGTTTTTTAACATTCACCTTTCATTAGATTTATGAAACTTATCGCTCCATTTTTCTTGGGTTGCTTTCTTCCGTTCTTTCTCATAAATATCAACAGTAACCAAATTAAAGCCTTGATGTCCTAATTATAACATGAACAACCAATCTTAATTAAGTTTGTTTTAAAGTGCCCTTTCAAAACAAGAGACAGTTTACCTTTACCTTATTTTCACTGATGACAAGAGAAATTGACAATCAAAAACCAAGAGATGGAGTATGACTTACCAAATAAAAGTGAACAAATTTCAACCAACATGAAAGCAATATGAAGCAACAGCATGACAGCAATTTGCAGAAGACCTTATACGTCTTCGCATATAAAAATTTGACCGAGATTCCACCGAAAGTATCCAGTATTTACATACCATCAATGAAGTATGTCACTTACACATTAACATTGCATCTATCCTACAGTAAGCCCAGGGGACAATATGTGATATGTGACTTAATGGAAGGAGGTACGTTTATTGAAGGTCAACAGTTCAACATTTGTTGGCATTACGAAAAGTTCTATTGAAACTACTAAACTGTCGTTTGTGTGTTAACATGAACTGTTTATATCTGTAAATTGTACTTACATATAAAGCCACTGTTTCTACAGAGTAAACAGATTATACCTATGTGTCCTGGTTCACTGATCACTGATCAGAGGCTAGCTGTAATTACGATATGTGTTTATCAATTTCATTAATGAGTCACAGGATCAGATATCCTTACCATTGCTGTACACTGAATTTTGTGTTCATGCCATTATAGTGTATGGAGTGACCGTTCCTCCATTATGCTGTAACAGATTTTTTCTTCTGGTTTTTCATATATTAAGCCTCAAGCCAAACAGACACACTCATATCTATTATATCTCTGAGGAATGAGAATCATATCACACAACTTAAGCATAAGTTAGAATTGAGACTAGTCCATCTTGCTAAGGGTAAAATTCTCTATAAAATTCAACCCTAGAAGCACTGGGACTTTTGACATTTATATTTAAATGATTTCACTACATACATATGTGTTCCTGTCTCTATCTTTGTGAAAAAAAAAAGATCTGCAACACTACACAATTCTTGCACTGAATCATTGTCTTGAGAACCAAATTACAAACCTTCCATATTAAAACTTAGGACAAACTGTAAATCAGCACTTAAGTGAACAAAATTGCAAGTTCAAAACTTTATTGAACAGTATTAGGCCTAGATCTAAGAGTGCTTCTAAGCTCCAACCTCAAGCATCTAAGGTAATTATAATCTGAAATACAACATCAAACATCTATGACATCAAACAAAATTATGTAGTGTACAAAATTGTCTGTAACACAATTTTGATAACCTTTTTATTATATTACTGTAATATTAGTGTAAGATACAATCCTTCAATTTCTGCTTCAAACTTCACACCATAATTATTTGTATAAGAATTATCTTCCAACATTATTTCATTAACTGTAAATGTAAGTTCACCAGACAAGTTAAAATTCAAACATGGGATCATTTCATAATGTTTCTAGGGGAGGAAGCTTGTGTAGAATACATGTACTATAATGATACAGACCCCTGTGAATTCATCCCAAGCCACAGAAAAGATTTCAAAATATAATATTATATGTATTTAACAATAATTGGGAAACAAGTTATACTTTTTTTCTTTTGTCGGCCAGCTATAAGCATACAAGGTTTGGGAATCATATTGTGGAAGGAAACTGAAGTATTTGAGGAAATTCATGTAGTCAGGCAGGCAACCCCCTATTTTTCAACCTCTGTTAGGGGAATAAAATCCCAGACTGCTAGATAAAATGTGAGTGTGTTACCACTGTGCCACCTGACCACTCTAGAACCAATTTCAAAAGAGGTTTATAAAGGCAGTACTGTATTTCCCTAACTAACATAATTATTCTGATCTCACATTCAGCTTTATCATGTTGTATATGACATGTACATGATGACTGTACCATACTTCACCATTAATATGATCTTCCCATTTACAAGTTATCCAGGAAGCATAACCTCATCATCTGGACCATGATGTAAACTTAGTCACACATTTCTACAATTTATTTATCAGAACCAATGCAAATCTCGGTCAAATTGTTTAATGTATGATGAAATCAATGACTCACAATTTTCTTAAAAATGATGTATCATGACTTTGATATATATTATAATGGAATTTTTGCTCCATTTCACAATAAAAAACAAGCTTCAGCAGTTGTTGAATTTTAAAGTACATGTTTTTAAAAGTTCAGTAGTTGTGTCCTTGGTTAAAAAGTGTTATTTTCACAAAGTACAGTAAGCAAAAACAAGAATTTCTTCCCAAATCCAAGTTTACCACAAAAAAGCACAGGCTGTGGTAAAATTCAGTAGGAAAACCTTATTTCATAATCTATATATACATCTTTCTTTCCATTGAATTCCTCTCGGATATTTCTTCCCTTAACAGCCTTAAACAGTAAAACTGGCTAAATAGCAAAAGGGTGAAATCTATCATTTTTTCTTTTGTCCTTGTCTATGGGTTATTGAAGAATTTTTTTCCCTAAAAACGTTTTTGAAATTCAGAGCATTTGTAAATCTACAAAATTTCCTTAAAATTACAAGGACAGGAAAAAGAATAAGTTTAATAATAAATTGATAATTGTTACTGGTAGATTATGAAACATTTTCACCTATCAGCTTGTAAATAGACTGGTAACTTTTGTATGACAATTCAATGTACAAACAAAGTTACCATGTTAAACACTTTTCTAGGAAAATTCTGTTTATTATCTTTCTTTGTTATTCCATAATTTGAATTTGAATCATTTATCTAGCACCAAACCAGTGTGGGACCAAGTATTTCTCAAAATACTTGGATATCATAATCATTTTTATGGTAAAGGTTGATCATATTTCTATCACTTTATAATCACAAAAAAGATGCTCCATTTACGATAGTAAATAAACAAATTGACATTTAAATATATATTTTACAACTACATACATGAATATGTCAGCAACCTATAAAATCGAACACACCTGTTGGTCATGGTCCTACATGGAGAAATCTATGCACACATAACTACAACAAAAATGTACAGCACAATACAACACCAGTTTAATGTAGTGCACGTGCTTCTCTACTGCTAGGGAACACAGACTACTATTATTAAGCCTACAATGATGTTACATGCTAACTACATTACCACACACGTGAGCTACAGGAGTACACACAGCTACAGCGTGCAGCACAAACAGCCACCCGGAAATCAACAGGTTTCCAATGTACTTACCATTCTCCTTCTCTTTGAGACACTTAACTAATAATTATCGACGAGTCAATCATAAGTATGACATACTTTACTCATATTGATATTTCCAGCTGGATCTCAGACATCGGAGAATATTTGATCAGTGTTTAGACTCCATGTTAACACTTGTCAACATTATTACTTATTGAAGAAGTTTGTAGTTTGACGGCTAGCCGGAAGTTTGACCTCACTTCCGCGCATGCCAAACGGAATATACACAGCGACGACAATTACCTGTATGACGTCACACACTATATAGTGAACCATTCAGCAGGTGCGCGATCCGAAACAACACACGGTAATAACTGCTAATGATTTGGCTAGTACCGTATCAAGGCAGTACCCTAATATGGCAGTAATTTTTTACTTTACAGGCCATTGAAAGGGCAAATAAGATGAAGTAATGTGAGCGGTATACATGTAAAATCTTCTATAGTTACAATTGTCAGCTACAATTAATACGATGAACTACATATTTAGTCCGTGGATATATGGAGTAGCAACAGTTAAAGCCTCTCGACCATACCCGTACTTAGACAATATCTAAGAACGTGACCATAGATGCCCCTATAAAATGAATGAAAGTCAAGATTTTTTTCAGAATGTCCACCAAGTAAAATAGCTTTTGATCAATTCAATCACTTATCACATTTTAACTTGATTTTGACCGAAAGTAATGGAACTTACAAAACTAGTGTGAGTTTCTAAACCTAAGGAGTATCGATATCTTAAAACTCATTACCTGGCCTCAAATTGACCACAACACTTTTGTACTTCCGACTGAAAAAAAACAATAACAAAAAACGATATGGGCAGCCATTGATATTTAATATTTCAGCAGAATTGTGGGTAGCTCTTTATTCAGACAAGCAAGTGCAATAAATGATGCTTATTTAATAAGACGGATGAGGGATATATACACAAGGCATTAAAAAAACAAAAACAAAACAAAAACAAAAAATCTTCTATATACATGCGCACTTAATTTCAAAATATGTTAAAATTCAAATATTAATATACACACTTAAATAAGGGTGTGCGATGTATCCTGAAGGATTTGCCCCTAAAACTTTAAAGAGAGTTTTTAAAATGAAACAAAAAACAAAAACAAACACATTCATAAAATTGCTGTAATATCAATCTTTAATCTCTTAATGATTATATGTACCAATTAGGAGTATGAGACTCCTTAATGGCTTAATAAGTCTTTCAAAAACTCACCCCAGTTAGTTTGGGGGACGGAATAACGTCGACGAGAACATCGTTAACTCATGGCTAGCGTAACCGACGTGATCATTACAGTGAGTTAGTAAAGAAAATGGAATCTCATTATTCATTTATCTTTTCGAGGAAACTAGCTAGAGCATTGGGCACATCCTCGAAAGTTGCTTTGATTGCCAACATCTTCATTTCTTCTGTTCAATTTCCAGTATCTTTTTTCCATTTACTGGACCTTCCGTTGGAGTAAAGTCCAGAGAAAAGAAATTGTGACAAATTTCGTGAAGACGGCTTGAACTAAATGGGAAAATTCCAATCAGTCCCTCCCAGGGAGGGAGTCCCTGGGAGAGTTATGGTGTTGACGGCTGGATGTCTTTGTCTATGGGTTTTTGAAAGGCATAACTATTAGTCAAGGTTGATTGTAATATATCATGCCTAGAGTGAGGGAACAAAATTTAGCGCGGGTATGAAGAGGGGGGTCATCATTATTGGAGACGGCGTTCCGGGGTAAGCAGCATTCAGCAGAAAGTGAGAGGGTTAGGAAAGTAAGAAAGTAAGATACCCATTAAGAATCAGAACACGGTTAAAAAAGTCTTTGATAGGACACATTCAGTCCTGCAAGGGCGTAAGGAGAAAAGAACAGTATTAAAGCTAGATAGTTAGCACGCTAATTAGCGAAAGATCGATTATGAAATATTTTGCATGTCACAATCGATCTTTCACTAAACCAGCTGTTAAACACTTGGATCAGCTGGCTCACATTAAATCACTCATCCATCACTGTTCATGGTTAATGACGTTTCTGCTGGTTATTTCATTATCTACTCTACACACTTATTTTCTGTCTCGAAAAGAATTCAGTAATTTTACAAGATATGTCAAAATTAATTCCCGGATTTCTTTTTTCGTACTTTTCTTCCATACCTTTTCTGATTTTTCCACTAGACGTGGTGCCCAGGGTGTTCTTCTGCCTACATCTGGTTTTCTACGCACGGTCATTCTAGACATTTAATTTTTCATCTATACCAATTTCTAATGACAATGGCTGATCCTGCAATATACTGTACGAACAGCAAAATGCCACTGTTACAGTTCAAATCACAAATTACAAGAGGGCAACCAAAATCATTCTAGCAGAACAGAAGAGCTCTTCATGGCTTTCTGCGACTTACTCATATGTTCGCGTGACTTTCACGAAAAAATGAAAATGACATCTGTTCCTTAGATTTCTAGGACTTAGATTTCACAAAATCGTGTTATTTATCAACTTTACCGTACTGTCCCAGCATGCCATCCTGCGATTTCCACTGGTCCGCCTGCTGACGGCCAGCTCTCTACTGAGGGAGTACTAAATGGTACCATGATTCCAGTAAGGAGATGGTATTGTCCAGAGCACAGTCCACAGGTCCGCTGATCTTGTCTCATATGTTTAGAAAACTATAGTAATGAGGAACAAATTGCGTCAGTGCGTCAAGTGCCAGTTCCTAAAAGAAGTACAGGGATCACGAGACCTCCGCAATTGCGGTCTTGAACCCTCTCAACATCCTTCCGACAGAGTGTACAAACACGTGTGGGTTCGTGGAAAGCTGGAGTGCTTGAAATTGAATTTCCCCAGATATCTGTGCTGTTGTCAGAATCATTGGTGAAGGACAGTTTACTGTAGAAAACAGTATAAATGTTCACCTTGTAATGTGTAAATGAGTTGTCCGTTATATAAATCTTTTTATGTCGAGGACGTAATTGTATTAGCTTGGAGAGGATGTGTAGGATGGATTTAAATCAATTCTGTTCTGTCGCGTGACGTCATTGGTGTTCCTGCGTATATATATTTATGTACATAAGTGTTCAGTTTACCTGTGTGACGTAATAATATGTGTGTCCATGTTATGTCTCATGCGGTCTTTCCTCGTGTTTTGCACGATTAAGAAGGTAAGTAGCCATTCCAACGGACGGACGCATAAAAATCTTAAGAATGCAGTAGGGACGTTTAATTGATTAATAAATCTTATTAGATACTGGACGAAATGTGTTTGACCACCTCAACTGTATGTTTTCCCAAATACATTTGCGCTGTTTACCAAGTGGTGATCATATTTATACTAAAGGGATAAAGAAACGCAAGGTAAACTTTGAAGATGATTCTAGGCAAGACGTGGAGTATAATTATTTGAAAGTAAGAATGAAGATTAATCCATACAGAACAAACTTTAAAATCAACGAATTGTATCTGGTAAGTGATTTTGGAGTAATTGAAGGGAATTGAAAGAGAACGCTGTAATCTGAAATCGTAATGGACTGATTGCGGGAGCTGGCTAGTCAATACCGGGTATGTTCCCATTTGCTCTCTCAACATCACTGGTTCTCCTAGGCATGGAGCTCGTGAGTGAGTCTGTCCTCCTCATTGGGCTGCTGTAAGTTGGGCCAGAGTAACAGGGAGGCTAGCGTCGTCGAACCTGTCTATCCAGCTGGTCCCACAAGTGCTCAAGAGAGGATAGGTCGGGACTGTATGGCGGCCAGTCCAGTGGATGATTATTGCTGTAAGTGAGAAAGTCGCGATAAATCCTCGTGATATGGGGCCGAGCATTATCCTTCTTGAATGTGAGATTGTTTTGCTCCAATATGGGACAACATGGGGACGTAGGATCTCATCTCTATACCTAGCGGCATCTAAATTACCCGTTACAACGACCAGTGGTGATTTAACTCCATGCGAGATTCCTCCCCACACCATAACCGATCCATACCTATCAACGTAGAAGTCGGCAAAACGTTCTCCACGGCGTTGGTATACATGACGTCGAACGTGTGCTCGAAACAGGGTGAACCGGGACTCATCAGTAAAGAAGACCCTTACCCACTGCCTCAATGGGAATATGCTGGGGGCATGTGTCACCACCCAAGCCATACGACGCTGGCGACAAGTAGCGGTAACGCCCAGACCTACGTGTGTCAGCAACCCGCCCAGTTTCCAGACGTTTAACAAGACGTTCTATAGTGCAAATATGGACACCGAAATGTCTGACAACCTGTATTTGCCTTTGACTTTGCATAATCATCGCTATGGCCTGACCCCTCAGAACTCCCGTCAGCCGAACCATTGTTTAATGCTATCTGAAATTAATCAAAATATCGGAAAATGATGTGTCTCTATGAAGCCTACCTAATGGTATGACGAGCAGTGTAATTTAATGTTACAGCACTGCTGTGCACGAAATTTTTCCGTTTCGTGCTTTCGCCGGAAGACATCGTCACGCAATACAATGATGCAACATTCGATACAGGACCACGTGCACTGTAACCTAGAGAGTTTCTTGACCGATTTTCATTGTTCTTGAACAACGCGTTCGCAAGATATTGCAAATAATGTCACTCTGCGTTTCTTTATCCCTTGAGTATATATTGTGAGAACACTTTTATCAGAATAGATTAGTTATCTAATCGTATATAATTATAAAGGGATTGCTTTATCGTCACACATTGTACTACCTGCCTTACATTTCTTTCCTTTTATGGTCAATATTAACGACAACGATGGAATCTTGACGAATTTGATAGCCGAAAGCATGACCAGGACGCTTCATAAGTTTTGAAGTTGTACACCTCGAATAGGACTTTGCTCAACCTTCTCGAGACAGTTTCTTTGTGACGGTGTCATCAAGCAGAAATCCATAAAGTTTTGTCATATTCGTTGCCATGTTTTTAAGTGAATAAATGCACCCGTGTCATGTCTGTTACAGGGTCTTTGAAATCACTTCGATATGAAACAAGAAACCCACGGACCTTAGTCATTTGACTTAAAGACGAGAGAGACATAATGGGTTTGAATCGCGCATCTGCTCTGCTGCATACAAAGAATACCTTGTCGGTTCATTAAGTCAGTTTTGCAAACTTGAAATCATATTCCTTGTGCATGCTACTACAAAAATCCTAATACCCAGGACCTATCACTTGACCCTAAAAGTGAGCCAAGGTCAATCATATGAATAAGTTTGGTAATTCTTCAAATATTTGATTACAGAACCAGTATATATCGCCTAGGCCTGTTGGCTATTAAGAATAAGCTCCTTGAAGATGTTAAAATCTTTGATTCCTCTGACCTTGAAAGTGGGTCAATGTCATTAATTTAAATACACTTGGCAGCCCTTCATCCAAGCATGCAACAAACCCAAACAGCACCATGGGAGTTTGGTTATTGAGAAGAAGTCGTTTAAAGATTTCGAAACATTTCACCTCTGTGACCTTGAAAGTGGCTGAAGGTCATTTACTTGAACAAACTCTATTGCTCTTGAACCAAGCATGCTACATGATAAATATTAGAACCATAGCCCTTTTCAGTTATTTAGAAGAAGTCGTTTAATTAATTTTAATACATTTCACCCCCTGTGACCTTGAAAGTGGGTTAAGGTCATTCATTTAAGCACCCAATTTATAGCCCTTCATTCCAGCATGCTACAGGCCAAATATCAGCATCCTAGACCTTTCCGTTATTGAGAAGAAGTCATTTAGATACTGTAACAGATTTGACCCTTGTGCTCTTGAAAGTAGGTCAAGGTTGTTTGGATGAAATATGATGGATGAAAAATCGATTGCAAGGGAGATTTACAATTGGCCTAGTTAGAATTTAATAATCATTATCAGGGCTCACAACAGTAAACAGTTATCAATGTAATCCCATTCAATTCTTTTACTACTGTTGGGCTTTCAGCTCATCAGCAAATCAAGAAACAAGTAATTTACAGCATGGCATATGCAAAGCATATTGACAATGAGATTTACAGCATATGATATAATTGATTCAGTCATTATTTCTTAATTGATTTATATAAGTTTCCCCACCAAACATATTTTCTTTAACATTGATCACTATGCTTTTGATATAAATCAATACAGTAATTCATTGGTGTTAATAAGCAAGGTTTTTTTATCCTAATTCTCACAAATAGTAGTCTATTTTAAATGGTTTCCTTAAGGCTGCTATATGCTTTTCAGTGTGTATTATCAATGACATGATAATAATGGAATAGAAATCCTACAGACCTTGTCGCCCAAACAATCAATTAAAATGATTGAGATATCTAAACAGGACTGATAAAGGAAGATTTTCTCAATTCCAATTCCAAAATCAGACAGATATAAGATTCTTTATACTTCAGACATCCCAACAATATTCTTGTTAGCTCTTAAATGTTTAAAATGACACCAAAATTTCTCTCTTTATTCAGACATGAATTATCATCAAATCTTCTTAATTATTCATATTTTCATAAAATAGCGTAGTCCACAAAAGAAAAAACTTGAAATACCTAGGATTTTCTTTTTCTTTTCTCTGAAGTTTTCACATTTCTGTGAAGATTGCACTTTTTTGATACACAACTAAATGCAGTAATCATGTCAGTCATACAAAAGTAATGTATAGGTTAACTGATTGATTACAAAACTATAACCTACCCCCAGGTAGCACCATATCTATAACCAACAACCAGGCAGCACCACATCAATAACTCACCACAAGGTAGCACCACAATTATAACCCACCACCAGGTAGCACCACATCTATAACCCACCACCAGGTAGCACCACATCTATAACCCACCACCAGGTAGCACCACATCTATAACCCACCACCAGGCAGCACCACATCTATAACCAACTAGCAGGGAGCACCACATCAATAACCCACCACAAGGTAGCACCACATCTATAACCCATCCCCAGGTAGCACCACATCTATAACCCACCACCAGGTAGCACCACATCTATAATCCACCCCCAGGTAGCACCAGATATATAACCCACCCCCAGGTAGCACCACATCTATAACCCATCCCCAGGTAGCACCCATCCCCAGGTAGCACCACATCTATAACCCATCCCCAGGTAGCACCAGATCTATAACTCACCCCCAGGTAGCACCACATCTATAACCCACCCCCAAGGTAGCACCACATCTATAACAACCCCCAGGTAGCACCACATCTATAACCCACCCCCAGGTAGCACCAGATCTATAACTCACCCCCAGGTAGCACCACATCTATAACCCATCCCCAGGTAGCACTAGATCTATAACTCACCCCCAGGTAGCACCACATCTATAACCCACCCCCAGGTAGCACCACATCTATAATCCACCCCCAGGTAGCACCAGATATTAAACCCACCCCCAGGTAGCACCCATCCCCAGGTAGCATTACATCTATAACCCATTCCCAGGTAGAACCACATCTATAACGCATCCCCAGGTAGCACCATATCTATAACCCACCTCCAAGTAGAACCACATCTATAACCCACCCCCAGGTAGCACCACATCTATAACCCACCCCCAGGTAGTACCATATCTATAACAACCCCCAGGTAGTACCATATCTATAACCCACCTCCAGGTAGTACCACATCTATAACCCATCCCCAGGTAGCACCCATCCCCAGGTAGCACCACATCTATAACCCATCCCCAGGTAGCACCACATCTATAACTCACCCCCAGGTAGCACCACATCTATAACCCACCCCCAGGTAGCACCACATCTATAATCCACCCCCAGGTAGCACCAGATCTTAAACCCACCCCCAGGTAGCACCCATCCCCAGGTAGCATTACATCTATAACCCATTCCCAGGTAGAACCACATCTATAACGCATCCCCAGGTAGCACCATATCTATAACCCACCTCCAAGTAGAATCACATCTATAACCCACCCCCAGGTAGCACCACATCTATAACCCACCCCCAGGTAGTACCATATCTATAACAACCCCCAGGTAGTACCATATCTATAACCCACCTCCAGGTAGTACCATATCTATAACAACCCCCAGGTAGTACCATATCTATAACAACCCCCAGGTAGCACCATATCTATAACCCACCTCCAGGTAGTACCATATCTATAACAACCCCCAGGTAGTACCATATCTATAACAACCCCCAGGTAGTACCATATCTATAACAACCCCCAGGTAGTACCACATCTATAACAACCCCCAGGTAGTACCACATCTATAACAACCCCCAGGTAGTACCACATCTATAACAACCCCCAGGTAGCACCATATCTATAACAACCCCCAGGTAGTACCATATCTATAACAACCCCCAGGTAGCACCATATCTATAACAACCCCCAGGTAGTACCATATCTATCTATATAACAACCCCCAGGTAGTACCACATCTATAACAACCCCCAGGTAGTACCACATCTATAACAACCCCCAGGTAGTACCACATCTATAACAACCCCCAGGTAGTACCACATCTATAACAACCCCCAGGTAGCACCACATCTATAACAACCCCCAGGTAGTACCACATCTATAACAACCCCCAGGTAGTACCATATCTATAACAACCCCCAGGTAGTACCATATCTATAACAACCCCCAGGTAGTACCATATCTATAACAACCCCCAGGTAGTACCACATCTATAACAACCCCCAGGTAGTACCATATCTATAACAACCCCCAGGTAGCACCATATCTATAACCCACCTCCAGGTAGCACCACATAACTGTTTTTGTGTCAAGCAAATAAAAAGTAATGTCTAAAAAAAGTATGATTACATTTTTATTTAACATTTGATCATTATACATAAACAGTTATATAGAAGCTTTATGTAATTTTGAAAACAATTGTAACTAACTAAGACACACTTTGGTATATTATGACTTAAGAATAGATTTATTATCATTATTCTATTCTATATGGCCCATCAACACTGAGAACATCATCAGGGACAAGAAATGGTGGTAGACAAAAAGGTCCAAAAGTAAAGGGCACCAAACTTACCAAAATTGTTAAGAAGCACCATAAAAGCATACATACAATACTAACTAAAACAATGAAAAGTAACTCATAACTTCATTACTAAATTTTGTAATGGGTTTCATCATTTCCTCTTTTACAGCAGTAAACAGATCTTAGAGCAGTGGGCTATCACAATATGAAACTACGACTGATAAAATCCAAGTAAACCCTGAACAAAACAAATCTATAAATAATATTCGTGATGAAGCAAGAGCTTTCTTTTTCCAATATATAATGTACTGTTGACAATATAACACAAATAAAAAAATTATTGCTACCTACCACATTCAATGAAGCGGTTCATAAAAATATTTTTACAAATCAGAAATGTGCATCATGCAACATTCCCTACTCATATAAGTGTTTAATCAATCTGATTTGACATGTGTTTAACTAATCTGATTTGACATAAGTGTTTAACTAATATGATTTGACATAAGTGTTTAACTAATCTGATTTGACATAAGTGTTTAACTAATCTGATTTGACATAAGTGTTTAACTAATCTGATTTGACATAAGTGTTTAACTAATCTGATTTGACATAAGGGTTTAACTAATCTGATTTGACATAAGGGTTTAACTAATCTGATTTGACATAAGTGTTTAACTAATATGATTTGACATAAGTGTTTAACTAATCTGATTTGACATAAGTGTTTAACTAATCTGATTTGACATAAGTGTTTAACTAATCTGATTTGACATAAGTGTTTAACTAATCTGATTTGACATAAGTGTTTAATCAATCTGATTTGACATAAGTGTTTAACTAATCTGATTTGACATAAGTGTTTAACTAATATGATTTGACATAAGTGTTTAACTAATCTGATTTGACATAAGTGTTTAACTAATCTGATTTGACATAAGTGTTTAACTAATCTGATTTGACATAAGTGTTTAACTAATCTGATTTGACATAAGTGTTTAACTAATATGATTTTACATTAATCGCTTTAATTTGACATAAGGGTTTAACTACCTTGCATAATCTGATTTTACAAAAGTGTTCAACTAATCTGAGTAAATGTTTAACTGGTCTGATTTGACATGTGTTAACTGGTCTGATTTGACACCTATATTTCCTCCTTTTTTGACTCCCTATTTTTTAATAGCCTACATAAATTTGTTTTGAATAGCATTATATATGCAGTAGAGCAAATATACCTTCCTCCAATATTCATATCACTTAATGACTAACTTCAAAATAGTAAAAAAATAAATGTTTATGATAAAAATGTATCCACGCACAGTCACATTTAACAATCCTTTCATACAATAGGAATATTGTTCAGAACACTTCACAACCTAATAAATATATGGTCAGTTTAACTGATAATAGGAATACCAAAAACAATATCATATATTGTGAATGATTGAAATTAAAGCTTAATTAAATCCTATCAAATCCATAAACACAACAAACAAAAGAGAAATGAATCACCTATTTAGGTGTGTCTTCCTGTTAATGGACATTACTTGGACATATGAAATGTACAGAAGCACCATGTGAGAATATAGACACCTATTTAACATTTACATTTCTTTTGTTTATAGTCAAGAGATATCACAACATATCAATACCTTATGAAATCATAACTATATGTAGGAAAAATACACATGGCATAAAAGGGAAGTAACTGCTCATGAACTCTTATAACATGTTATTCATAGGTATCACAAATCACAGATCAGAACAGTTAGGAGTGTGGATAACGGAACATTTTTAGACTATAAATCCATATGTACATACAGTAACAGAAATATTTTCCTCGCTCTCTTCAAGTATATTTCCCATTTGCTTGGAAAATATAAGTCTATTTCTCCCTTGTCAAATGACAATTAATGTGCTTTTATTGTTAAAGTATCACCATTCTGAATAGAGTCCGCCTTATGACATTCTGTAGGGAAACCATATCAGGACTAGATAACATCATCAATTTTGACTCACCCTCAGTCTATTAATCAAAACAACTTCTGGTATTTAATAACTGGAATGTGAGGGGAAAAATTTCTTGTGTTCTGTGTGATATATCAATTTTCAAGATCAGATTTGAAAATTTAAAACTTAGATAAGCCTTATGCAAAATCATAAGCTAAATTTATGATATCACTTTGTATAACCCTCAAGGCCAAAACTTCTACAATTTCTGGAAAGTAGAATGAATTTAGAGAAATAGTACAATATTCAAAACAGGGTCATGCTTCATGATTATGGAGTCTTGAGAGGGTAAGGAATTTTCCAGTCTATTTGGCAATGATCAACATTTCTTCACAAGAAACTAGAAAGAAAACCTATCAAGAGCAATCAAACAGAGGTGTGACTGTCAAACCTTCAGTTTATTTACTTGTCTTTCTCATACTAAAAGACAGGCATGTATCACAGGGACTCAGCATGAATTCACAACTCATAGCCTATGTATGTATTACAGGATTGTAAGTCCTGAGAAGGGAAAATAAAACAGATCTTTTTTCTAATTATGCTTTTTTACATTCTAAGGGCCGCAGATCTTAACACAAATATTATCTTTCAGAGAAATGTTCTATTTTTCCAATGAGTGTTTGATGAATGAGGTATTTGGCCATGATATGGCCTCATGAATTTGTCAATATATGTATACTCAACAAAACAAGAAATGCACAAAGTTCCCCCTTGTAGTAAACCTTAGCTGGAATACTTGGTCAGGTATTATATTGATGGATGGTCATAACCAAACTGCTGTCCCACGGCAGTACCTTAATAACTGTGCTGGAATCACCAAATCTATACTTGTGGTGGCATACAGTGCCCATGTCAATGTCTACACAAAATGTCTCTTGATGGTGTTATTTCTCATATGTTGTAGAATTTCCAAAATTAATGTTAACATGCTTAAATTCTTCAACAAGTACTGCCATCTTTTCGTTATGTTGCCTATGATAGGTGTATGACATACCTTGCCTTGGCTCAGCTCCAAAACCCAGTTCAGGGTTGTTATAAACAATTCATATCTCAAAAACAAAACATCCGATAAATTACAATTTATCTTTAAAAACCTAGAAAGAAATGTTTAAAATCTGAGACTTTTATTTCTGGGACTAAATAACTGGCATGTATAAAGGGTACACTATGTCCATACCAAAGTTTGTAGAATACGTTAAACATATCTGAACTGCGCACTTGACAGAACAACAAAATCCGAGATAGAAAACTGATTTGTTGAATACCAACAAAGGTAAGGCTGACACATAAACCTCCTGGAGACAAAACTGGCATAAAGCTGTTGGATCTAACAACAAGGACTTCAACGTGCAGGGCAGAGAATCCAGTAAGGCAAGAAATTCCTTGGGGTCTGAAATAAATGTAGATGAGACATTAATGTTTTCACACTTTAATAGATCATTTTCACCAATAACAGAGAACTTCATTCAAGTTTATCAGAAATATTGTTCATTATTGGCAATAGTGTGTAAAAGATACATTATTGACTTTTTTGATAAAGGTTTTTTAGGGCACAAAAAAGCATGTATATATATATATATATATATATATATATGAGAAATTTCCGAGGGATCTTGGTGCCACTATTGATGATCCTTATTGATTTAATGAATGACGTATTCATTGGTAACAAGTTAAAAATTTCCTTTGCTATGTTTGCTAGTTACATATAAAACATAATTGTAAAAAACTTTGAAGTACAGTATGTATTGTAAAGATTTAAAATGGTCACTGACAGTCATCATAAATGTCATGGTCAAAGTACAGAACACATAACTTGACATATTGACAAGTTTTAAGGACAATCTCCTCAATTACGACAGAATTAAGCTCAAAATAACTTAAAATTCAACATGGTCATTGTGAGTAAGAGTACATGTATCAAATAACCATTGTATGCTCATCTTAAGCCCATACAGAGCATGTTCATACTGCAAGAACAGGTGTGGGGAAATAGTGAACAACAAATCTGGAGTGCCAAATTATAAAATGCCATCTTGAATTTACAATTATTGTCCATACTGAACATTTTTATAAAAATTCGAGAACATCCCTGCCATTGTTCTCCGACAGCTTTCTTACCAGTGAATTGATCTATGACATGAACATGTAAGACGTGAGATGTAATCCAATAACTTCTTCCATTGACCTTTGACCATTAACATCTGACCTAGTTCCATAACTTACTAACATAGAATTCATACTTCACCTGAAAATCTAGACCTCAGTGCACCAGTTGTTCTGAGGCCAAGTTCCTGTAAGGATGGTATGCTATTCCAGGGAGCAGTTATGTCCCTAATCTCAGGGGGCATCACTATGGGAACTGATGTCTCCTTATATGGCACCACCAACTCAACTACACCAGGAAGTACACCGAGCGGGTTACGCTGTCGACAACTGAATGTATAATATCATGTAAAGATCTCATGGAAAGAAACAGATAACAACTTTTATCCTGCAACTTCCGTTGACATTGTCGCAATACACCTGCCACATATATTTTTGCCATATTCTGCAGTGATGGAAAACAGCTGTATTTTAGCATGTGCATTAATTCAATAGAATTACTTTCTGAAATTACTCAAAAATTATGTTTAACAATAAAAATAACTGTTGAAATAAGCAATTTAACATTTTGTTAAGAACAAGGTTATTGATGGCAATTTGTAAAGATGCTGTCATATTCGTTGAAGTTTGGAACTATATTTCTGCGCGGAGCAATCATTTCGGTATACACCATCAGGCAAAATTTAGCAAAACATCAACATCAGGTAAACAAAGATTGAACAACAAAACTGTTGATGTTTTGATTGTCTGAATTGCAATCAGTGTTGCAGGATAAATAGAATGCTTGGTTAATGCCTTAAAATATAGGCTGTATTTTGGCTCGGAGCAGAGTGATTCACCAGTGGCTCGTCACTTTTGTGTTTCTTCACCCTCGCCAAAATATAGCTTACATTTTCAGACACTAATCATATATTCTCTATAACAATAAGAAGAATTACTTAACAATTAAATGCAATTACAATTGTCTCATTTATGGAAACAATAGCTTCATTATAAAAAGCCTAGATGTGGAGTTCAACGTCTTATCTCAAAGTTAGGGCTTATCACAGGAAAATAAAATAGCAACATTTGTTGGTAATTCTACAGCAAAAGAAATTGATGGGTTTATCATCAGACCTGGGTGTAGAAAATATGATAAACATACCAACCCACAATATACAGCAAATGGTTTATTGACCGTTGTCTCATGTTCACTATTTGTGCCTAAGATTTAATATTATTGAATATGTACCAATGAAGAATACTTAGAAAGAAATAGTAAAAATTACATATTCTAGTTTCATCACCAAATGGAGAAATTTACACAAGGTGAATACCAACCATTTATAAGGTACTTACATGCCTGGAAGAGTTCTATAGCATTTGTTAAAAGTAAGACACAAGGAAGAGTTTCAGAACAATCTTTCCATTTCTTGTTTCTTAATGATGGTAACAGTTGTGATGATATTACGATTAAGACCTCCTCTAGTGATCAGATGAAGTTTTTAGGATATATCTTACGTACGGTTTCATTGTAGAATTGAACTGATAACTTGTCAGTTTCCCTGTTGAAAGATTTAGGTTTCATTGTAAGATTGAACAGAATAATTTGTCAGTTTCCCTACTGAAAGATGTAAACTATGGCAGTCATTTTTGACTATCTAAATTTCAATCAAACTTCTATCCGAAGAAAAAGCTGGATATTTGCTTTTAAATGTCTCGATCAATAGATCACATCCTATTGAAATTGTATGGTATCTGTGTGTTACCTACTACAGGTCATAATCATACAGAAATATTCAACAAAATTGTCCCATCAACAATTCAGCTTGTGTTCCAATACATAAGTAACATATGTACAAAATGTATACAGCAAGTCAACCAATGTCAAGTTGTACAACTCATTAAAAAGATGTCACAAAAATAATTTGCCTCAATAAATCCTTGTTTACCTTTGAAAATTTCCAGTGTCTATGTGTATCAGAGAAATAGGGAGAACGTGGAGTGCTGGGTTCTTGTCCACCAGCAGAAATCTCAGACTGCCTAGACCTTTGTTTGCAAATGCTGGAATTAAAATAGGATGAGTTCAGTACAGTGTGATGTAATAAACACAAGACTTGACTTACAATATAACATCATTAGTTTAGAGATATTCCTTACAGGGCTTTAATTTGTTCTAGTTTAAGTAATATTTCTTTTTAGATTAGCATCATCCAGCTACTTGTGATTAAAACAACAGCCATATTTGATATCTTAAGAGATTTGTCTTTTAATAAAAGAAATCATAATACAGTATCAAAACACAATATATCTTGGAAACTTGGGAATTATTTGTTTTTGAGAAAAAGCAGTAACAATTATCTTCAACAGCAGAATTATTTGTCTATGTTTACAAATTGATGGTATTAGATGATTAAGAAATCTCTGGCTTATATTTTCTAAAGATTGATTAAATTAAAAAATTTAGCATATCAGATGTAGGACCAGTAAAATCTGCCATTATTTTCTAAGAAATTCTGTAAATGCATATATTTTAGCAATAATCTGAATTTAGTACTTTTCGTGCTGAAAATATTGCACTTAAATATGATTGACATTATGGCAATATCTGAATGTTGTTAATATAGCAATTACAGAGGATTTGCTAATTCATCAATCTGCTAATTCACCAACAAGAGGCCCATGAATCTTAACAGTCGACTGACTTATGAAATATTTCAGCCAATTTGGCCAATCTTGGCCCCACCCATCATCCCCTGTAAATATATGATTACTATCAATCTGCCATCCCATACTAATAATTCTAACCAAGTTTGAATTATTTCCAGTGACTATTTAACAAATGATGCTCAAAAATATGATATTCCTTTGGTAAATTCCACCTAACTGCTAAATGAAAATGTGGAACATATGGTTTATAAGGTTCTAAAATTTGAGTAAAGCACCTTAAGATCCTTCCATCAATAAAGAGTATTTGATTCTGTCATTCCTGGGTATTAAAAAGAAGATTAAAAATATTTGAATTATTTCTACATTTTAATATAAGACTTGTATACATTACTTTGTGGTAGAGTAATTAAGTTGTTTCCACAAACAGAGAGTTCTGTCAAGCTGGTCAATCGCCAGAAGTGACGAGGAAGACTAGTCAATCGGTTGTAGTCCAAGTTCAGAGTCATCAGACTCTCACACCTACACAAACTGATGGGTAGCGTGGACAGGTCATTCCTCATAAGTTCTAGTGTCTTCAGGTAACGGAGTTGTCCAATACCTATACACAGAAAGACCATTATGAATATATAACATATTTCTATTCCATTCTTTAATATCTACTTGTATAGTGTTGGGGTCAACATTGTGAAGATTCATTTCGATCAAAAACACAGATGCCCAGATTCATTTCTATGACTCTAAGCTTTCAGTACTGTAAGATCCCAGTTGTATGTGAAATTGGTAACAGAAGAATATCAGTTGATTTGTCAACATCTTGAAAGTATTCCAATCAATATTGTAATTATTCCAGATTGTAAACACATCTCTACAAACAGAATTCATTTAAATAGTTACCAACAAAGAGCATAACATATCTACAATGGGTTTCCTGTCTGTATAGACACATTGTACCTACAATGTATTCCATGTCTGTAAAGACACATTGTACCTACAATGTATTCCCTGTCTGTAAAGACACATTGTACCTACAATGTATTCCCTTTATGTATAGACACATTTCATCTCCAATGTATCATTTGTATCTACAATGTATTCTCTTGTAAGTATAGACACCTTGTGTGTACTATGGAATTCCTAGTATTTAGAGACACATTTCATCTACAATTCATTCCCCTGTATGTATAGTCAAATTGTAATTAACATGTATCTACTGTATGCATAGACACATTTCATCTACAATACATCATCTTGTATGTACAATGCATTCCCTTGTATACATGGACATATTGTACCTATAATGTCTTCAGTAGTAGGTATAGACACATTGTATATACTCTGTATTTTCTAGTATTTACAGACACATTGTATCTACAATTTATTCCCTGTATGTTTCCCTTAAAATATAGACAAATTAACAATGTCCTCCAATAAATGTAAAAACTCACTTGAAGGCAGACTTGCCAATTTGTTTACGGACACTTGCAGCTTCTGCAGGTTTCCTAGACGACCAATATCAGCTGGCAGCTGGGTCAGCTCATTATCACAAAGGTTTAGAGACTCAAGTTTTGTCAGGTTACATATTCCTGAAACACAGCATTACACATGAAGAACAAAAGACTGTCACATAAAGGAATTGATGATGAATATGATCAAGTGTAAACATCTTTCAAGTTTACGTGGATTACACTTAATATGTATTCTTTCAATTAAGGGATAAATTGCAGTGATTTAGGTGGATTATTGTGGTTAATTTTTTTAACAAATATTTTTCCTATCGGATTTGTTCAATTTTATAAGATAAACTTCAGTTGTGACAGTATAATTGTAACACTACCATAAGATAATAGTAGGATTTCACAAAAAGGAAATCAATTATTTTTATTTTCAGATATCTGTTATATGTGGTACCATTTCCATGATACATCCAGGTCAGATGAGGTCATGGACATTGGCAACAATCACTATCTGGACTTTCTATATACAAATGAGAAATTTGTAGAGGTATGTCATAGATATTGCATGCAGTTGTGAATTATTTGCTGTGAAATGGTCATAACTTAATGAACAGCAGGTGCATAATTTTGGTTGTCAAACTATGGTGGTAATGAATCTCCTTATGAAGTTTTAAGTTTATCAATCGGAAATTACTGGAAAAATCGAAGGGACACTGTTTAAGTAATCAAAATAAGGGGCCATAACTCTGAATTACAGTCTGAAAATTACAGTAATAGATCTCTAACTATGATTAGTAGAAAACTACCCAATTTATTAAGCAGACGTGTGTGCCTGCCAACCTGTCCGTTCACATGGCAATATAATATGACCCATCTTTCAACATGTGTATAAAAAAAATGATACAAATAATAAAGGTTTATAAAACTATATTATACATCACTGAAACAAAACAATGGACTTGTATAAAGTTATTTCTTTAAAAATGAAGGAAAAACAATTACCTGTTGCAAGGAAATACATACAAATGTGTTAAACAGTATACCAACACTATGTTAGTATTACACTTACCATCTGGTATGGCTTTGATGTTGTTACTTGGCATATATCTAAAAATTAAGTGTGTATCATTAATTTTATACAGGATTTTCATCATCTGACTGTTTGTATTGTTATTTCCTATTTTACAATGCTGTTTATATTGTACCTTACCATAGAAATATACATTACCACATAAAATAAATTCATTAAAATTACATTACCTATTTATTGTCAAATTGCAGGTATAAATTATTTGCTTTGTGGTGTTATCACTCTCCAAAATAGCAATACTGTGTTTTCTATTAAAGAAGAAAAATGTTATAAACTAAACGTATAATACATGCTTCTGAAATATAAGTACTTACATCTCAACTAAACTTGAAAGTTGGTTCAAGTTATCTGGCTGAAGAAAACAAAAATCATTCATTTCTAGACAAGAAATACATTTTGGTACTAACACAAAACAATGAACCCTTTAGCTTAAGTATAGCTAAGTTGAAGAAACAGATGGCAGTTCTAAGTAGACCCATGTAAAGTGGACTGAAAATCACATTTAGTCAGGCAGGAAAGCCCACAGAGGGATCAAACCCCTTAGGATTATCATCATGATCTTAGTGAAAAGCAATCACTGACATACATAAGATGGGGACTGAGAAAATATTTATGATTTTTTTTCTATGCTTTGGCTTCACCTACATAAGTAAACATGACAATATGAAAAACTTGGCTAAATAAAAGTATCTAAATACATAAATAGCATTCTGAAACAGCAAAAGAGGAATTAACTTTTATGTGGTAAAATCAAATTATTGGATAGGAAGATACATATTTTGATAATGTCTTTTACGAAAAAATAAAAATAATTGAAGTGTTATGGTTATCTAAGGTATGAATCGTGTAAGTACCATGTCATGATAGTATGAAAAATAAATGAAAACAAAGAAGCATGTATAATGGTTGCCAGAAGACCTCTAAGATGATTTTTTTAATGATTACGTAATCACAGCACCAACTGTATAATACCAAGCATGTCAGCAGATTTCTCTTTGCATATATTGTTTTGAGGTTCCTGTAGCAGATGTCATACAACAGACATGGTGGTAGATTTTTCAGTCCTTTGTAATTCAAGTGAAGAATGGTGTCTCCCTTCTTGGCATTTTCCAGTTCGTCTTTAATATTGGAAAAGTCTGCCTGTTCCATTATCTAAACATCCATATCAATCTGAAATATGAAGGAACTGTTTGGTAAAATCTCAAAAGTTACATATCGATAATTACATTCAAAGCAATATAAGCCTGTATACAAAGGATCATAGTACTGTACATACAGTGTTATATGTCAACATGATCCAACCATAGCTTCAGGCACAGAGAATTAATCTTTATTGCTTCAAAACAAATCCAGCTGAAAAACTGTATCTCTTGATATCAGGATCATTATTATTATTTATAATGTCATTATTTTTTCTTCTGAGAATTAATCATGTTGGGTTATATTATTTATAGCCAACAGCGAGAGTTTGGGTTCACCTCTGGTTCGATCACTAACAAATGACAGTATTCTTTTCAGTTTATATATGCATCATATATAGCAATGTATGTTGATGCCTAGGTTTCAGATTTGAATTTCCTGTCTAAATTGTACCCATGTTTAATATGTATCCTATGTACAATTTGTATATATGCATATATACATTGTGATCCAGATGTTCATTTCACATAATAGACAATTGCAACTCTGATCATGTCAAGAATTTCCAACTGCCTACCACTACAACTTCCATTTCAAAACATCTAGGTTTTTTTTAGGAGAGTAGGGGATGGGAGATGGATGTGAGGGTGGTGTAGGTGGTTAAGGCAGTTTGAGGCCCAGGTTGGGCACAAGTCAAAAATTGTGTTGTCTTACCATGTTCAGATACATATATATATATATATATATATATATAATGTATCTGAACATGGTAAGTTTACATCCCATAAGCGAATGATGCTGTTGCAACATAGACCTAAATATATCAATATATAAATGACTGATGAAATCAACATGGCCAAAGTTGTGTGCTTCAAGGCAAATGTTCTGAAACACATTTTCTGTGTTGACTTCAGCATTCATTTAGTTAATTGATTGACTCACAAAATATCTACAAGTTTCACTTTCATTATATATCAAAATGAACTTTTTGCGAAGGGACGGGTGGAGATGAGGAGGTTACCAACAAACTTGCAAGTTTGTGATTGTCTAAAGCTTCAGGCCAATTAATAAATATCAAGCCTTCTTCTCTTTACATGTGTGGAGAAACCCTGTTTACCTGAAATAATAACACTACCAAATAAACATTCTCACTCATCAGGAAAGCTGATGTTTCCATATGAAATATCACATAAACTTATGGGAATCCCAACAGGGACAAACAATACATAATATACTATATAGGGATAAGAAGCTAGACACAAAGGATATCTCTGGTGATCGAATTTGTACTTGTCCACAGAGCTGTGTAGTCAGCAGTTCACTCTCCCAAGTTATTTAATCTTATCTACCTCTCCTCCATTCATTCTATTATGTAGTTAGCAAGGACTTGGCACTGACCATCCTGTCCAGAGCCACTTAAACAGCTAACCAGTAAGTCTCAATTTCATGCAGTTAATTAATGAACTATTCATTAACTACATATGAACAAAATATTAAGCATATGTATAATTATTTCTGGGGTTCATTAAAGATCGAGAGAACGTCTTTGCATCGATAAAATAATTTCTAAAAAATGGGAAGAGGAGGGTATTCTCCATTCTCACTATTCCAATATCATTTCTTTTTATGAAGTAAAAATATACAAAGAAATTTTAAAAGTGAACCGTCTGTAAGGTATAATCAAGATAATCGAAGACAAATTAAGATATATTTAGACGTATGCAAACCTTTATCAGATCCAGTGGGAGATTCTGGAGTACTTGTTACAAATCACTGGGAGATTTTGAAAAGGAACTTGTTACAAATGAACCGTCTTGTTTCCGTTCATGGCTATTTTTCTGTGTACAACAGGGGTGCAGTACTCATTAATACGTGAAAAAAACTTTTAATAGGAAAAAAAACAGAAATACTCCTGGACATAACTTACTTATAAAGAATTAGTTTATGTAATAAAATAAAATATACGGAGTAAATGCCGAAATGCTTTTCGTACTTTCAATTAACTGTTTCGCATCGGTTTCTAATCTTGTAAATTCTGCAGGTGAATGAGAAATACGTCAATGTAAAAAGTGCACACTGTTGAAACGTCATCAATTTAAGTGTAGTCGTGACGTCAGCTACGAGAAGAACGAAATGGCGTGAAACATTGGGAAAACATTTCTACTTTCAGTTCAAAATTTAACGTGTTTTGAGCAGTTTTACTAAAGCTGTCATTTTTGGTTCCCCTTACTTTTATATATTTCTAAGGAAACGGCCATGACATGATGAGTGTTGACGCGTATGCCCCAAATTCCCAAACACTCACGTTCCTGGACACCGAGGAAGATCTCCTCGGAGCGGACACACAAGGCACAGACTTCGACTTCACAGATTTTACATTGCCCTCACAAACTCAGTCGCAGACTCAAGCCTCTCAGCTAGAACCAGGACAGAGCCAAAGTCAGGTATAACAAATCGATGTGCTAAGATGGTTGACATTAACACCACTTCTGCCATGTGCGATATGGGACATGTGGCCACATGATAAACTGCCATCTTGACTTTATTCAAGTGGTTGATCGCGATTTTGTATCTTGAATACGACACCTGGAATGTCGTATTATCATAGCACATGTCTTTCTTTCTTAACTTCAAATAGTATTCATAAATATTTTAGGAACCTTAAAGTGAACACATTGTAAGTTGCATAACATGCCAAATGTTGGAAGTCAAAAGTTATGGCTATGTCAGCGTAAGTTTAGAACATGCTAAATCATAGTTAGTCAAATATTTGGCTATATATATTTTTCCAAAATTGTGTCTTAATTTCAAATTCGAAGATTTTCATAATTTGCATTGCAAAATATTGAAAATGGATGGTCCGAGAAATAAAATGTACACAATAGATACAATATTGGCTGTTTCAGAATGATAGATATATGATGTATATTATTTATCTTGTTAATGATGTAAATTAAAATCATGGCATCAGATGGGCCAAATCAAAAGTATTTGATCAGTATGACTAAAGTTATTTTACTTCCCCTTATGGGTAATGAGATCGTGTTATACCCGGGACAAATGATAAAAGGGTAAAAAGGCAGAAAGCTTTTGTGTTTGTTCAATCACTGACCTGTAATATCAACAAAGTCCTGTCTTCTCACAGCTGTTATTTACCTGTGCCCAATATTTAAAATGTCAAAAGTTTAGTGCATGACAAGAATAATTTGTCACAAAGGTTATCACCATGAATTTGAAAATTATTCAGCTTTCTACCACATGGAATTCCAGGGATTACAACAGCTTGCTACAGATCACATATAAATATTGCTTCATGTTATCTGAAAACCCATTTAGGAACACAAAAGTTATTAACTTTACATGTTCTTTATGTATGTAGTAATGCAAAAACATCTTTACACCCAACAAATGTTGTGATATTGTGATTTTCACTATGACCCATGGCTATATGATTTTTGTTTTCCATTTTCTCAAAGTGACATGGTACATCTCATTAGCAAATACTATAACTTTCTTAAAGGAAGTTTGACATTCCAGCAGTGAAAACAAAAGTGACCATCAAATACTGCAATCTACTTCAATATTGATCTTGATTACAGTAAACTTATAACCTGATGTCAGTGAAAAGCCTATAAAATATAAAGTATTTGGGCTTGAATGGCAATAAAAGGTGAAAGGAACAAGTTAATTACACATTTCCAAAAACACCATTGTAGAACCACTTAAAAAACTAATGTACATGTACATGTCTAAATGGTCACACAGTTTGGTCTCCAGTTGTACAAATTCATGCATTAAGTTATATTGACATTGCATTAAACAGCCTTCTTAACATAATTTCACAATTACACATATATTAGTAAACATAAATGCATGGTGCGTAATGGGCATGTTTGACCTGTAATAAAGGTCTGTTTATAAGTCAGTAAATAATAAGGTCGTATAGGGGTCAAGGCCAGAGTATGGACACTCACTTTAATTTTGTATAGTTTTTATTTTTCTAAGATTATTTTAAACAAAAAAATGTTAAATTCTGTATCTTAATATTGAAATAGAAATAACAGCGATTTACAAATCAAATAGCCTGATGCCAGGGTTACCAAATCAAATTTTCAGCTTGGGCTATTGGAAATTACAGGCCCACTGGATTGAAGGGGAGGCGGTTGTTAGTGACTTTCTGTGCACATTTTTCCCTTCAACACAAAAAAAAATTCAAATTATTTCTTTTTTTATTATCTCTCATAACATTTCAATCATATAAGATAAGAGTTGCTTCTTTTAGTTAAAAATGAAATTTCATTGGAGAATTAAGTTTTTTACTGATTATAAAATACCCTGGCATACAATGTCCAACCCATTTGGCAAAAGTACCAGTTTTTTTTTTTTATTGAAAAAAGTACTCAGAAGGTAATACCAACCATCAAAATAGCAATCATTGGTCATCATAGTAATACTTTTTATTTGATATGAGAATCTTGGTGAAGATTTGAAGTTGATCTATCCAAAAGTTGGCAAGAATCTAGCTAAAACAGAGGTACTAATGTTTGTTTATGGTGTATTCTCTAACTGCTGGTGCTGAAATCGGGACTTTTTTCTAATTTTTATTATTTGATTTTCAGTGGATGAGTTTTTTAATGATATAGATACATGTATGCTTAATTTTATAAGAGGTGTTTCAGTTAATTTGCTAAACAGTTGTAAAACATCAACAAATTTTGTAATACTTCACATAGTTGTGGAAACATTTGGGGCTAGTACAATGTTGTATCGGGTTCATGGATTTTAGCAGGCTAACAGCCCTGGGCTATTGCATTGAAAAAAATTTCACACCCTTGAAATATATAATAAAGGGCAAAAAAGACAGCAAAGTGTTACTGGCACCACCTGAACATAACAACATTGGTATGTACCAATTATTCAACTCGTTAACATGAAAACCTTGTTTGTTGGTCCCCGCCAAACTTCACACCAAACATTTGAACTCAAATACTCAGTTATCTGGAGATTTTCCCACAGGTGCTGGTTTGAGATAGCAAAGTTTGACTGTATTAATAAGAAAAAAATTATATTCCTACATAGCAAATTTTCAGTGGAATATTCATATCATTTGTTTAAAAAAAAATCAAGAGAATGACCAACAAAAATAGTTGGCTTGTATCAGTCTTGTTTCCTAAACATTATGATATTGGTTGATGTAAAATTGTAAGTGAGATCCCTATATAGGTAATTCCTTTATTACAGTAGGTGCTAAATATATCAATTTAAAAAATTAAATTTGAAGTACCAAAACTGTTTAAATGCTTTTCTTTATATGGAAACATCTCAAATCCTAAGAGAAGGTTATTCTTTGATGAGTTTTTCACTAGGGAAAACTAATTTTGAGTTTTAATATAACTGAAAAAAAAATCTTAATTTGCAGCAACCCAATGGTGTCGAAATACCACTACAAAATGGCCTGGATAAGGGTATTGGAGTCATCACACAGGGAGTGGGTGAGCTCAACTTTGAGGAAGAGGAAGAAGAACAGTTTTATATGAAAGATCTCCCCAAACATGCATGCTCGTAAGCTCCTTCATACTTTCTTAATGTTTTAAAGAGAAATGTTTTATTTTGATAAGTGTATTTATTTGAAAGTTGTTGTACATCCTATGGTGCTAAAATCTGATATTATATATATTGATAGGTACTGTGGGATACATGACCCTGCATGTGTGGTCTTGTGCAACTCAACAAAGAAGTGGTTTTGTAATGGCCGCGGCAACACTTCAGGAAGGTGAGTAGTGTTTCCTAGTTGTTACCTTGCATCTAGACACTACCAAATGCTAACTTGAAGTACTTTGTATACTTTCTGAAACACATGCAGGAGATAGGAAACATGGTATCTAGTTTATGATAGACATGAAATATTTTTGATAAGAATTTCAATAAGATCTTTATTAATTATACAGACCCGAAATCTTTCTCCAGGATAATATTGTATGTCATTCAGCTTTGATATTGGATAACATCTCATTGGTTGATCATCAGAATTTCTGCAGATTCCATATTGTAAATTTGAACTTTTAATGATATGTATGTAGGACTTTATTACACTCAAAGTCAAAATCAGATTCTGTTTCCTTTTCCCAGCCACATCATCAACCACTTGGTGAGAGCGAAAGCAAAGGAGGTGACCCTCCACAAGGATGGTCCACTAGGGGAGACAGTGCTTGAGTGCTACAACTGTGGTTGTCGTAATGTGTTCTTGCTTGGCTTCATCCCAGCCAAAGCTGACTCTGTAGTGGTACTGCTGTGTAGACAGCCCTGTGCCACACTAACCAACCTGAAAGATATGAACTGGTAAGTAGTAAGCCACACATGATCTGGTATATTTTCATGAACTACTCTAGAGAAAGTCTTGCATTTGACCTTCTAAAGAGATGATATAACCTGCTTTGCTATGTAATACACCCATTTCTTACACAAAGGTGACATTTAAGAAAAGATTTCACTTGTTTTAACTAATTAGAGGCATAATGATTTGTTGGACTGGTTATCGCAGGTCTCCCATCACAGACATGACTCCAGATTGTATCCTTTAATAAGATTTGGTAAAACTTTCTCAATTCTAATAAGCAGGTAATTTGAACACACAATTTTTACAGCAAAAGCAATTTTCTGTGTGATGATAGTTTTAATTCATTTTTATTTATTTGTTTTTATTGTTGAAACATCATGACAAATAGTAGTATGCAAGCTTAGTGTTACATTGGACGACAATTCAATGAGGTTATACTGTATATCAACTGTCAGCTGATGTGAAATAAACATTTCAGTTTTAAAAGTTTTCTTGGGTTCATTTAAATAGATTGAAAAAGATAGTTGTGTGCCCTTGCGATTGGTGGGTGGGAGGGAGGGTGGATATAGTGTTATCTAGTGTTGGGAATCTTTTTTTTTTTTTTTTTGCATTCATTTATGACACTAAATTGATGTAAATCAATTTCTTTTGCATTTTCATTTTGCATGAACATCTGAAGTGTAAAGAATTTATTACTTACAGATAAGTGAGGAATTCTGTATTTTTCTGTTTGATATTTGTCGTCTGTACAAATTGTACTAGTGTTGTAGTGGTACATGAATTCGTGAGATGTGTTATCTGTCAAACTAGTTAATAACTTCAAACACAAGGAATGACTTAAACAGCTGAAGTAAAGATTGACAGCAACTTACAAGACTAAAAAGAATTTCTATACCCAGGACTGTTCTAGAAATTATAAAAAAAATGTCAATCACAATGTCACGATCTGCCATGTTTACATTCATTTCTGCTGGTTGTAATAGACCTGCTTTTGTATTTTTCTTTAGTTATGTAATTTTGATTGAACAGGAGATTAGTTCTGATTAAAAATTCTGAATCATACATCACATCATGATTCTTACTTTGCTTTGAATTTGTGACAAATGTCATGTTTTAAACAATTGTTCATAACAATATGCAAATACAAGGTAGGTGGACACTAGCATTTTGTTGTTCTGTTGATTCCACTGAGAAAGTGATAGATTAGGCATAGATGATACAAGAATTCTGAAATGTTTTAGATTGTCTCATTATAAATGAGTTCACAGTCGAGTGCTTTGCATTTCAAAATATTGAAATTATCAGTACACCAATAGTGTTTATCCATGTCTTTCGGTGGCTGTTGTGTCACATTCTGAGTTGATCTCATCAGATTTTGTTTATATTTACCCCGTGTTTTACATTATTCTACACCTGATCAGATTCTGATTTGTGTGGGATATTGGGCTTCCATGCCCTGTAGACATTTTTATCTTCTTTAACAATGACTTATTATGTTTGGTTAAAGTATTTGATAAAAAAATATTTGTTATATGCATGATCTGTGTTACAGGGACCCCAGCCAGTGGCAACCCCTGATCCAGGATCGCCAATTTTTAGCCTGGCTTGTGAAGGTGCCTTCCGACCAAGAGCAGATGCGAGGACGACAGATCTCCGCCCAGCAGATAAACAAACTGGAGGAGTTGTGGAAAGACAATCCTGATGCCACACTGGAGGATTTAGAGAAGCCAGGAGTAGATGAGGAGCCCCAGCAGGTTCTCCTCAGGTATGTGTAAAGGAAGCTCAAGATAATCATAGGCTTGTCAATATAACTAATACATCAGGTCCAGTAGAAGTGAAATTTCAGATCTCTTCACAGTAAACTTCAGCAAGGCTAGATGTTTATATTGGTGATATGTAGATAATTCCATTGGCTGTGTGTAGACAATCACTTAAGTCTTAATTTTGTAGGTATGATGATGCTTATCAGTACCAAAACATCTTTGGTCCCCTTGTCAAGTTGGAGGCTGACTATGATAAAAAGCTGAAGGAGTCTCAGACCCAAGATAATATTGTAGTGCGCTGGGATGTTGGCCTGAACAAGAAGCGCATCACTTACTTCCATCTCCCAAAGGCCAATGAAGGTATGTGTACAATTTTGTACTGTGTTGTGAAATCATGTTAGAATATCAGATAAAAGCATGCACAAGAAATTAAGTGTAATGATGTCCAATATCAGATGAAAACAATAAATTAGTACCCAGTAAAGTTGTAATAAAGCTTACTTGTATTTAGGGTTATGTCCTTATTTGGTAAAAACTCATAATAGTTAATAACTGATAGGAAAAAGTCTGGAAACATTCATGTAATGAAACATTTTTCCTTGGTTAGATTCCTTATTTAATCCTTCTTGCTCAGAGATTCTTAAACGGATGTGTGTTTACTCAAGTTGTATAGATAATGATCATGACAGCAGTACAGGGAAGTAAAAATAGATTTATTCTGTCACACCTGTACTTGTTTTAGGTACAGGCTGTAAACAGTGTGTTTAAGTTATTAACTCTAGCTCCTCTGTGCCTATTTTAGGTACAGACTGTAAACAGTGTGTTTAAGTTATTAACTCTGGCACACCTGTACCTATTTTAGGTACAGACTGTAAACAGTGTCTTTACATTTATTTGTGAATTTCAGAAATGAAGCTGATGCATGGAGACGAGTTGAGGATTCGTTACATGGGAGAACTACATAAGCCATGGTCAGGTGTTGGCCATGTCATCAAGATACCAGACAGTATCCTTTCATACCTACAGATAACAGCAGATGACATGATCTGCATCTCCTACCAATATTAGTTTCATTTGAGCTAATTTTCATTGGTTAGATATTGCTTCACAAAATTCTGATTGTTAGGGTATTGTAAGAGAAAGTTGGTACATTCTTATACTGTTGTCAGACCAGCTTGATTCACTTACCTGATTGTGATGTATCAGGGTAGGTGAATTTTGTCTTTAGAATTGGTATTATTAGAAGACTGACCTGAGATAATTGTATTTGTGAGTTGGCGCTGGTTGATATTGTTGCCTTAACAGTGCACAGATCATAGTGACGAGGTGGCCATTGAACTGAAGAGTAATGCTGGGGTGCCTACTGACTGTACACATAACTTTGTAGTGGACTTTGTCTGGAAATCAACATCATTTGACAGGTACACTTTATTATGATTACATTACTGTTAAGACTTCCATGATTACTGGTGATTCGATCTACTTTCACATGGATACTCGCACAGTTACATTTTTTACTTTCTAATCAGATGATACACCATTTGCCTTAAGTTCTAAGTGAAAGTGTACCAGTGTGTACCATGATTTTAACAATTTAGTTGAAATGAGTGATGTCAGGTTTGTAAGTAATTTTCTCTCATTTCCACCTGTGTCAGATAGGCCTGTCCAGGGCAATAAACATGGTCATGATAGACGTTTATTACACAGGCGCCTGTGTAATAAAGCCTCGCGCGCGGAGTAATTCATAGTTTTTTCCCGCGCACTCATCGACTATGTCCTCGTCATCCGCTTCATCCACAAACACGCATAGTCGATTGGAGTCATTGTTTGCAGGCTCGTATTAACAAAACTGTTTTATAAATATCAACATCACCAACCCTGGGACTCTGCCTTTCCGCCGTCGTCCACGTGTGATTGAAAGTGACAATGACTAACTTTCCTCCTGTCGGTGTGGCGCGAAATGTGTGACGTAAGTGACGTCATCTCACAAGCAAACCAAGAATTCCATTCATAAATGTGTAAGATTTGTAAGATTACTATTGACAGTGAAGTAGTATTAATAACTTGACCAACATGTTCAAAGATGTAAAAAGTGTTAATGATATATTATACATTGAGCAATAGTAAATATTAAAAAGAAAAGTGTTGTTTTATTGCGTGTTTTAAGGCACTATATTTGAACACGTACGCATGTCTCTGGGTGATGTATTTGACAGGGTATTTGACCCAGCCCGCTTGAAGAAAAAACAGTTAAACACTGACGTTGGATGTTTACGTTCAAAGTCCATATTATGTTTTCAACCGCAAACACAGTTTGCAAAATTCGGGGATGGAGAATCTATTTCAGCATATTTTTTATGTATATGGCCCAAGGAAAAAAATAGAAATCTGAAAAATGGCGGCGTCCAGTGATGGCTACCGCGAGGTGAGTGCAAATATTTGATAATATGAGATTAGAAATGAGAGAAAAAACTTTTTTTCTATATGGGTATGTAGGATAGGGATATTCCACCCTCGGGATCACAAAATATGGTTGAAAGCCTCGGGTTTTACCACATTTTGTGACCCCTCGGGTGGAATATCCCTATCCTACATACCCATATAGAAAAGAGTCTTATAATATTGTTTTATGCCTAGAAACTGAATGCATTTTACTTCATTGAGAGATTTTGTATCTATCAACAGAATGCAGGCAGCTCTGAAGACATTTGCAGTGGATGAGACATCAGTGTGGGGCTACATTTACCACAAACTGTTGGGACACGAGGTTGAGGATGTGGTCATCAAGTGTCAGCTTCCCAAACGCTTCAGTGCCCTCAATCTGCCAGAACTCAATCACTCCCAGGTGTACGCAGTCAAGACTGTGCTGCAACGTCCCCTAAGTCTCATTCAGGTAAAAATAAAAAATGTCGGCCTTGCTCTTATACCTTGTATTTTAATGAAAAAACATGAACCATCACTGTAAAATTTGGAGTGTTTTGAATGAGTTATGTTGATGTATAAATTATAGTAAGGGAAAAAATTGTCCTAGCTGAATAGATTGTCGCATTGGAATTAATCAGTTTACCTAAGATCAAAAGAGACCATTGTTGAATTAAGATTTCTAGATGTATTGTCATTTTTCTCTGCAGGGTCCACCAGGAACCGGTAAGACTGTTACTTCAGCAACTGTGGTTTACCATCTGGCCAAACAGAACAGTGGTCAGGTCCTTGTGTGTGCTCCTTCAAACATCGCTGTCGACCAGCTCACTGAGAAGATCCATAGGACTGGACTAAAGGTCAGTAAATGTCATCCTTGTGAAATTCAGAAAGGTGACAAATGAAATTCTTGAAATGAGTAAAACCATTTCAGGGAAGTAAATGCAAATGTTTTGAAAATCAGCCGTATTGGTTGTAAAACATTCTGTTTTGATACATAATCTGTGATGTCATCATTGTATGTGATCACAAACAAACAGTATCTCTTGTTGTCATTTGATATTAGATTCTTCACAGATAAAGATGGTTGTAAACCATAATTCTGACATAATTCAATTTGTCCCATTGTATGGTGAAAGATTTTGTGTTTTTCTAGGTGGTGCGTCTTTGTGCTAAGAGTCGTGAAGCTATTGAGTCTCCAGTCTCTTTCCTGTCTTTACACAACCAGATCAGAAATATCGAAAGGTGAGTATTTGGTAGGAAGCAAACAAATGGAGACAGATTGGTGGAGGCAGATTGAGACAGACAGATAGGTTTTTAAAGTGATTTATGCTCTTAAATATAATACTAATGTGATATTTTTAAATCACCTATGTATAGATTATATCTTCCAAACTTTTTGTTAAAGGATCATTATTTTGACGCTGTCTTCCGAAGACAATTTTGAAGTTATCTACATGGTCTGTATTCAATATTATAAGCAACATTGTCATAGTTAGATATCATTCCATGATAGAGTTGTTCTGCATCACTTGTTAGTAGTAACATGGGCAGGATCTCCACTGTCAGTAGCTAGTGTTAAGTTGAAAGTAGACGGGAAATAACTCTGAAATCAAATGATAACTATTAGAAGGGAGATAACTCCACTGGGCATATCTGCAACTTTCACAGTGTTTGGAATTTAAAGTTAGAAACACATGTAGATAGATACTTTAATCTTGGCATTATGTAAACAAGTACAAACTGGCTGTGACTGTATACAATTAGTTACAGTATTGTCTTTTCATACTTCTAATAAGTCCAATTGCTCGAAATCAGTTTCATGTAAAGAATAGACTTACAATGAACTGAAATACTGCAAATTGTGTGAAGTATTGTATGATATTCTAGACACAACATCCTTACCAAAGTATGATTTGATGGAGGTATTTACAAAACAATCTTTAATTGTGACGATCTGGAAGCAAGAGCAAGTGTCTGGAGCTTATTAAGGTATCAGTAGTGTATTAGTTCTATGCCCCTCTTTTTTAATTTCAGTGTACCAGAGCTGCAGAAGCTGCAGCAGCTTAAAGATGAGACTGGTGAGCTGTCATCTGCTGATGAGAAGAGATACCGCTCCCTAAAGAAACAGTGTGAGAAGGAACTTCTACAGGTCTGTAAAGGCACTAGTTAAACATATGCGTAGACAGGAAAATATCAAATTCTCATTAGATTGAGTCATTGAATCTTGTCACCAAAATAACATTAATTGTTGATTCAGCATTTACTGTTACTGTATTTTGCATGTTTTGTGAATTCCGTATTTTATGAATTTTTACCTGAAAATGGTAAATATGGCTATTTGACAGAAGACATGATTGAGCATCTGTTTATTACATGTTTACAGCATGCCGACGTTATCTGCTGTACATGTGTGGGAGCAGGGGACCCAAGACTTGGGAAGATGCAATTCCGCTCAGTTCTAATTGATGAGAGTACCCAGGCCACAGAACCTGAGTGCATGATTCCTGTGATTCTAGGATGCAGACAAGTAAGCCCTCTGATTTTATGCTCAAGGATGGCAATATTTCAACACACAGCATTACCACTTGAGGAGAGGAAATTAAGATTGATAGCAAATTGTGAAAACCTTTCAAAGTAAACATGCATATGGTTTGAAATTCAGAAGTTTGTTGAAAACAAAAATGATGTTGTCATAAGTGTCATCTGATATATAGGTTACTGATTGTTACATGTTTTTCCACAGCTGATTCTGGTTGGGGACCACTGCCAGCTTGGACCAGTGGTAATGTGCAAGAAGGCAGCCCGTGCTGGCTTGTCTCAGTCTCTGTTTGAGCGTTTGGTAGTCCTAGGCATTCGACCTATCAGACTCCAAGTCCAGTACAGAATGCACCCAGCACTCAGCGCCTTCCCCTCAAACATCTTTTACGAAGGTTCCTTACAGAATGGAGTTGCTCCAGGTACAGCATTTGGTGTAACAGTTCCTATGAAAATCTTACATTTTATATGAGTAGTCCAGATAGGACTTGATATGGTAAAACTAATACAAAGTACTATTAACATTCTTACTGCTTCCAACATGATATGGAAGAAAAGATTTCATCTAGAGTGAACTTTAAATATGAATGTTTGCTAATTACAAAAAAAAAAATCGTTTTCACAGCTGATCGCACAAGGAAGAATCTTGACATACCTTGGCCACAGGCAGACAAGCCCATGTTCTTCTACACGACGTCAGGCCAGGAGGAAATCTCCAGTTCCGGCACCTCCTATCTCAACAGGTAACATCAACACCCATTATACTGCAGAATATCAGCAATGCTACTTCACTGACCAGAGTTAATAGTGTTGAGAAATCATAGACTCTCCTTAGATATGCTATGACCTTGATTTCATGCATATATGGATCTGTTGATTATTGGTTCTTTAGGAAAAACATGATTATTGATTTCTGTTTAACACTTATGGCATTTTTTTTCTGTGTAACATTGTCCTGTTTACATCAGAACCTTAAAAATATTATAATTTACCGTAAAAACCAGCGTAATTTGCACAATGACACAATGTGCACAGGTACTTTTTGGGTCTAAAAATGTTTAAAAAAGCTTCTACTTGCATAATATGCACACCCAAATATTATGTCAAAATCGATCTCAGGGAGCCAAGAAATTGATCTTGGAATGTTCAGCTAACACATCAGACCAACGATATTAAATGCAAAACTTGAAAGTATTCTCTCCAAAATTTGTTTTCCTCTCTTTTACTGACTTTTATTAATCTTCTGTTTAATTACTGCGTAATGTTTTTGCATCTTCTTGTTTGTTTTCTTTGACATCATACACATCTCGCTGTCATTCACTTACCTATCCAATTATCCCATAATTATCTTGCGTTCACAAGGACTTGTCTTTACACTAGCCCTAATCTTCAGTGTTGAAATCACAGGTATAAGTTATTATCTACCTACTTGTGACCAAACCAGGTAACTACGTTCTCCACAAGTCAACTTTCAACTTTCTTTCATGTCTCACTGTCACATCGAGTGGGCGCCAGCTGACATAAATTGAGGCCCCAACTCTGTATATGTAAGCAATCCGTATACAGAGCACAGAATTGACCAATAACAAAACAAAGAAAGGGAGATAAGTAAAGGCTGATACTTGTTTTGATGACTTTTAAGTATATCCAGAATTAATGTTGGTCCCTCTTGATTATAGAACTGAGGCAGTCAATGTAGAGAAAATTGCAACTCGTTTCCTGCGATCAAGCATCAAGCCAGAACAGATTGGTATCATTACTCCATATGAGGGACAGCGGGCATACATTGTCCAGTACATGCAGTACAGTGGATCTCTCAACAAGAAACTTTATCAGGTAGGTATACATTGTCCAGTACATGTAGTCAGGTAGGTATACATTGTCCAGTACATGTAGTCAGGTAGGTATACATTGTCCAGTACATGTAATCTATCAGGTAGGTATACATTGTCCAGTACATGTAGTCAGGTAGGTATACATTGTCCAGTACATGTAGTCGGGTAGGTATACATTGTTTTGAGTAATGCACAAGAACTTTATCAGCAGGAGAATGGACCAGGTAGTCAGACTACACTAAAGCACTAAGCACTATATTCTTCATTATAGCAAGGAATATTGTAAGGTAGTATGGCAAGGAACTGTTTCAAGTTTCCAATGGTACAGTTACCCTGACATAATTAGAGATCATTTGTGATGTAGCCATGGCATTTATAGTCAATATGTCTAAGTGTACAAAGTAAAAAGTGTGGCATTGGTATCAGTTTAGTAGTAATTGAGCCACTTTTCTGAGTGTGTGACTTGATGTTGGACTCCTTACAGTTACCATGGTGTTGCTTTCAGGAAATTGAAGTAGCTAGTGTGGATGCTTTCCAAGGAAGGGAGAAAGACTTTATCATTTTGTCATGTGTCCGATCCAACGAACACCAGGGAATTGGATTTCTAAATGATCCACGTCGTCTTAATGTAGCTTTGACGCGGGCTAAGTAAGTACCAAATTGTACTGGGTTCAGAATATTAATCATTCTAGTAATGAAAATCTAAATGACTGAGAGAACATTTAAGTAATTGTGTTTGTAATTTTGAATGTAGGATTGGATTATGAGATATCTGCTTTTGTCTTTACTAGGTATGGGATCATCATAGTCGGTAACCCCAAAGTCCTGTCTAAGGTTTGTAACAGTATCCTTAATAAATCAATGAGCAAGTTGTCTGAATATTGATACAGAAGTAAATAGATGAGTGTTATTGCCGAAAATGTACCAAAGCAATTGCTTTTATTATCAAAACTTATATAATTTGGAACAACCTGTTGTACCAGGTTGTAATTCTGTGTTCTATTAACTAGCAACCCTTGTCGAACCAACTGTTGTATCAGGTTACAATATTCTGTTTTCCACCTGTTGTACCAGGTTATGATATTTTCTATGTTCCACCTGTTGTACCTGGTTATGATATTTTCTGTGTTCCACCTGTTGTACCTGGTTATATTTTCTATGTTCCACCTGTTGTACCAGGTTATGATGTTTTCTATGTTCCACCTGTTGTACCTGGTTATGATATTTTCTATGTTCCACCTGTTGTACCTGGTTATGTTATGTTCTATGTTCCACCTGTTGTTCCTGGTTATGTTATGTTCTGTGTTCCACCTGTTATACCTGGTTATATTTTCTATGTTCCACCTGTTGTACCAGGTTATGATATTTTCTATGTTCCACCTGTTGTACCTGGTTATGATATTTTCTATGTTCCACCTGTTGTACCTGGTTATGTTATGTTCTATGTTCCACCTGTTGTACCTGGTTATGTTATGTTCTATGTTCCACCTGTTGTACCTGGTTATGTTATGTTCTGTGTTCCACCTGTTGTACCTGGTTATATTATGTTCTGTGCTCCACCTGTTGTACCTGGTTATATTTTCTGTATTCCACCTGTTGTACCTGGTTATATTTTCTATGTTCCACCTGTTGTACCTGGTTATATTATGTTCTATGTTCCACCTGTTGTACCTGGTTATGTTATGTTCTGTGCTCCACCTGTTGTATCTGGTTATATTTTCTATATTCCACCTGTTGTACCTGGTTATATTTTCTATGTTCCACCTGTTGTACCTGGTTATATTTTCTATGTTTCACCTGTTGTACCTGGTTATATTATGTTCTATGTTCCACCTGTTGTACCTGGTTATGATATTTTCTATGTTCCACCTGTTGTACCTTGTTATGATATTTTCTATGTTTCACTGTTGTACCTGGTTATGTTATGCTCTGTGTTCAACCTGTTGTACCTGGTTATGATATTTTTTGCGTTCCACCTGTTGTACCAGGTTTTGATTCTCTATTTACTAGCAACCCTTGTGGAATCACCTGTTGACATATTACAAGGAGCAGAAATGTCTGGTGGAAGGACCACTCAACAACCTCAAGGAGAGCCTGATACAGTTCAGCAAACCACGCAAGCTTGTTAACTCGGCCAATCCTGTATGTCAGTTTGTTGACCATCTGTATTCAGAAGCTAACAGCTTTATATCTCTGAATGCTATGCTGTATCCATCACATTTAGGTTGATGGAAAAGATGCTTTAAATTGTTTAGATCTTGTTAAGGTCCTGTTTGAAAAACACAAAAATGGCAGGTGCATATTTCTAGTTACAATGATTCTGTATCTGTTTTTAGTAAAGTTCAGATCAAAAGTATTTTCTCTCCTTTCCTATCGTGTGGTATATCTTCATGCTTTATTTTAAGTATTTATTTGTAATAATTTGTTTTCCTTTGATTATAGGGTGGTAGATTTATGAGTAACATCATGTTTGATGCCCGAGAAGTACTTATCCCAGGAAGTGTGTATGACAGAAGTAAGTTTGCCTATTGTAACTTTTACAGATTTACTCTCTTTGTATGTGTTCAGGCCCCACTTGTATAAAACATCTCAACTTGAGATTTCCTCAAGTCGAGATTTTCCTCAGCTAATATCTCCTTGAAAATATCTTGTATGAAAATTCCTCAAGGAATTTCAGGACATCCTAGCCGATGCCTTCCTCCTGTTCCTTGGGAAAATTTTATACAAGCCGTTTTTGAGGAGATATCAGCTGAGGAAAATCTCGATTTAAGGAAATCTCAAGTTGAGATGTTTTATACAAGTGGGGCCTGGTTTCAGTGCATTGCATGGCTTATAAACAGAAAACATGATGAATTTCAAGGTTTGTTTGTCAAAAGTATGAAATAGAAAAGTACTTTTAGCTTACCTCAAAAAATTGATGGAGGTTAAATACCCACCGAACAGCACTCCCTGAAGACTAAACAGTTCATTATATATATTATAACTATAGTTCTATTATAACAGCTAAATGTGTATATATGAATTGTAGCTAATAGATAATTACGAACTTTAGTCAAATTTCTTACCAAAAACGATTGAAATGTTTAGATTAAGTTTTGAATTTTTCGTGGTCCAGCCCAGGGATATCGTGAACCAGCTGTGGTTCGTCACCATGATCAACTGAGCTACATCGGACCTGAGCGTGCCTACACAGGCCCCGCCCTTAATTTGCCGGTACCTGTCAACATGTTCATACCCCCAATGCCACAGCCATTCAACACTCAACAACCTGTCCACATGAGTATGTCTTCTCATTGAAATTTCTTTTTCAATAGCAGTATTTAATACTGGTAATTCAGGATAATTCCTTTGATGATAAACATGCTCAAAAATTGCCTTTTACTGTAGCAGAACTACAGTACTAACATAGTTTTGCAGAGTCAGCAGATGCTACATTACAACTAATCATGCTTTCATACCTTTACTTTACTTTGCTTTAAGCAATTTATTTAATTTCAAGTTAAATAATTCATGCCTTTATGTAAAATAAAGATGTTAGAAATGTACTTTACTCTAGATGTGTCCAAAATAAGTTTTACATATTACAAGACATTAACTATTCAGTTACAAAGCCTTTAATATGTTACAAATTCATTGATAGATGTTCAAAGGAAGTACTTGGCCTGAAAATTGCTTGGATGAAATTCCTTGTCAACTTTTAGACACAAACTTGTTAATAATGATGATGGAAGGCAGACAACAACAAGAGAGAATGAACAATTGAATTGCTGTAAAACAAAGCTATGCTATGATGATATGATGAAATATTTATATCAATCAGTATCATAATAAACCAAAATGGAATGAGTAGGTTCCAATAATGGAGAATAAGTAAAGGCATGATTAAAGAAATTTGAAGAATGTTGAGATTTAATGGAAGCTTATTGATTCAAACTTTTTCTTTGGCATGTTAAAATGAGAGATTGTCTACTTAGACATGAGTTAGTTATAATCTGGTATGTTTTGTATCTCAGACAACAAGAGTAATCCACGACAGAACCAGCGTGGCTTCAACTACCGCCAGAAACCACCCAGATACAGCAACACGCAGACCACCCAGGGGTCACAGATGAGTCAGAATGGCAGTCAGAGTCAGGCAAGTCAGGTGAAGATCTAAATATAGCATGCTATTCATAAACTGCTTTCTCACACTTGAAATTTGATGAGAGAGGTGTGGTGTTGTATGTACTGGGCAGTAACAGGATAGTTTTGTCACGTAACTTTGCAGAGGTGCTGTCAAATTAAAATTCCTAAGTTTCCTTAAGTGATAAATTTTAATTGTTGTCCATGCAGTCAGTTTATTTCTAAGGGAAGTGTTTGGTAATTTTGGTTTAGGCTTGTATAAGGGAATATAGCAACTCAGCACATGTTTATCTCAACTGTAGTCTACATGGACAGGTTTATAATCTGTCAACACCCTGTGGTAAAAGATCTGATAATTCCCTTGTTGGTGACAATGCCTGAAACACTGAATCAACTGTCAACACCTTCATTATCTCATTTATGAATGACTTTTGTGATCTGGTATATAGTAATCCAAACTTGACAGAATATTTTATAGCTGCATTATTTACAAGATTGTACATAGATGTAATTTATTAGTGATATTATTCCAGTTAGGTTAAAGAGTACCATTATATTGATGAAAAAAATCCGCTTTTAAACATACCAGAAGCAAGAACAGAAATTTGCACAGTGGTTCTTCTGCTGTTGAAATGTTCACATTTCATCTTTATGGTATGCAGTCATAATTTTTTGATAGAAATATTTATAATTTATAAAGCATACGAAATGAAGTGAAATGGTGCAGAACTTTATTTTCTGTTGTGTTTTTTTCCTTAAATCATCGTGTCATGTGTTGTTATTTATTTACTTCTGTACGAAAGAATGGTGGGATATGTTATAGATATGTCTAAATTGTTCAGTTTAATTCATGTGACATCTAATAAAAAGTCACAAAATACAAAGCACTTGGACAAAATGACAATGATCATCATTCCTTGAAATTTTATTAAGAACATTTTGAATTATTTCAGGATGGCATTTCCCAGCCATTTTCGCAGGGTCCTTTAACCCAAGGGCCTATGTCAATGAGCCAGTCGTTCCAGATGAGCCAGCCTGGCCTCTCAGGGCTATCCCAGCCAGAACTGTCTCAGGTTTGTGTACACCCTCTGTTGTTGATAGTTGTTTATTGTCCATTATTTGTAAAATGTTGGATTGATGAATGTTTCAAGTCCCTCATTGTAAAGAAATGCAGAACAAATTGTTACTTTAGACTTCAACTAATTTTTTTATATTTACAAAGGTAATCTGTTTACCATGTTGTGTGTTCATTAGTTTCCTTCTTCAGTATCATGTGTTTTATCTGCATTAATCTTGTGAGATGAATGTATTTATACTCAAAAAACTGAAGGTCTGTTTGGTGTTTATGATTGCAGGACAGTTTCCTGGCTGATGACTTCAAGTCGCAGGCTGATGGCATGTTGTCCCAGGACTCGACATACCAGGGTGACCGCATGTTCTATGCCTCCCAGCTGTCACAAGGTCCCTTCAACTAGGACCGCCACTCACAAAATCAGCCTATGGCAGAAAGATGAAATGAAAACTAAGTGACCGATCACACAAGATCTTAGCTACCGCAATGTCTCTGACAGTACGATGTGCACACAATGAGCAGTGTCTGCTAAAGTGGCCTGCCAGGTAAAAACACCACCAACCACGGGCTTCCCACGGCCACACCTGAGGGGCGCATCCCCTCCCACACGGCTGAGTGAGACAGCCACTGGGGTCCGACACAGCCATCCGCTCACATGACCGATCATGTGGCTCTAAAGCGGTAACGTGGCATGTTGGTGGAGATACGAATGGGCAGACATATGCCACCTGCTGGATGAATCCAAGCAGACGACAGACACTGCTGGGCCTGTGGTTTTGATACCATACTGGAGGGGTTCAGTGAATCTGAACCTAATGTGTGGGTAGCACTACAAGATATAAATCAGAGATCCTATGTAGCCCTGGTTTCATGCAAGAGTAGATTCGCGAAACTACACTCAAACAGAAAAAATTGTGTTCGAGGAGAGTTTGGTACCATCTGAGAATCAGAATGCAAGCTTATATGTTTTTTCTTTGTGTTGAAATATAGTCTTCTCTCAGTTAACAATGTATGGTGATTTGTAATTGTTTTTTTTTTTTTTTTTCCCCTCTTTTTTTTTAATCAAGTAATTTTGTTTCTACCATTGATAGTCATTGCTGATGTTAAAAGGGCGTTTGGATGGAATGTTCTAGATATAGCTGTCAAACATGAAGGAAACTTACTGTATGACATTAGACTAAGGCATGGAATGACCAAGAAATCATGGTGAATGGTATTTGTAATTGCTGATTAGTTGTAGATATGCTTGGAGAGATATGAAGGACCCACTTCTTGGTGATGATTACAACTATTGGTTTGTCCCCTAGTACATTAGCCTCATTATTTCCATGTAGCCTGTATAAGTTATAGGAGATCCCTGTGGCATGGAATCTTCAGCATTTGGTTGCTTCAAACTTTAGTTCAAAACTGCAGATATTGATGATGAGAGTTCTTTGTAACAGGCTTTTGATGAAGAAAAATCTTGACAATTTTGTATGCTGCTGAATATCTGTTGTATTAAGTTTTTCCTGCAGTTCTTTGTACTACTAAAATACACTGTCAAAACTCAAACTGAAAAGTGATTAGTTCCTAAGTCAAGATATAACATACCCCAGCCGATTTTTCACCAGATGGCAAAATTTGATTTCTCGCCCTCGTTTTTGCCTAGAAATAAATGCAAACTTTTTGTGAAGAATATTGTAGATCTCCACATTTGAAGAATAGAGGTGGGAAGTGATTATGCTGTATGCAGGACAACAAAGAATGAGATCTGTTGCTCCTTGTGAGACTTAACACACAGAATGGAATATCAGAAGGTATCAGGGATGAGTCAGCTTTACTAAATATACAGAAAATGGTCAATGTGATCAGTTTTATTCTTTTTATTTATATGTCAACAATCTTCTAATCAGCTACCAGTATTACAGCACATTTATACCGAATAGGTGTTAATATTGGAGTAACTGTAATGAAGGCAAGTGATTAAGAAATTCCAACAGGGAACTGATGTAGGGAATGTGTTCAGTATTCTCTGTATGTATTCACTGCTATTGTGATTCTTCTTGTATGGTCACTTATGGGCATTAAAAAGCAGGACTGATTAATTTACACTGCTAGATTCACTGCTGTGCTGAAGCATATGTACCGTTGCTTGGATGATTTCACCTGTGTTATTATTTATCATAGGTTTAACTTTGTATTCTATGGTACACTGAAATTAGTGACGTTTTGATTATTTAAAGATGATTTCCTTATATTAATTGGTTTAAAACAACGCCTGGTTCATAACCAGAAGACCAAGTTAATAAGATCAATGTATGTTCTGAACGCCATTTCATGAAATTTTGTTAGCAATTGATGACTGATTTTATTTACACGTATTTTAGCAATTGTCCTGCCACATGTTTGTGGTGCCTGAGTGCTTTCCTGTATCACCTGTGGCTTACACCCTTGTACTGTAACTTTACGCCAATAAACTTCTGCTCCACAAATATGTCTTTTTTATATTGGTGAACTACTCTAACTGGGTGTATGAGTTTGCACCCGCCATTGATGACCTCCATTGGGTTGTTTTAGATTAAATCAGCCGTACTTGATTGTTATCACCAGAACTAAGTTTTGTAAAACGTTGTGTAGGACATCAGTCTACACTTTACAACCTCGTATGTAAAACGTTGTGTAGGGCATTAATATCTACACTTTACAACCTCGTATGTAAAACGTTGTGTAGGGCATTAATATCTACACTTTAACAATCTCGTATGTAAAACGTTGTGTAGGGTATCAGTCTACGTTTTAACAATCTCGTATGTAAAACGTTGTGTAGGGCATCAGTCTACACTTTAACAATCTCGTATGTAAAACGTTGTGTAGGACATCTGTCTACACTTTTACAATCTCGTATGTAAAATGTTGTGTAGGGCATTAATATCTACACTTTTACAATATCGTATGTAAAACGTTGTGTAGGGCATTAATATCTACACTTTTACAATATCGTATGTAAAACGTTGTGTAGGGCATTAATATATACACTTTAACAATCTCGTATGTAAAACGTTGCGGTATGTAAAACGTTGTGTAGGGCATCAGTCTATACTTTAACAATCTCGTATGTAAAACGTTGTGTAGGGCATCAGTCTACACTTTAACAATCTCGTATGTAAAACGTTGTGTAGGACATCTGTCTACACTTTTACAATATCGTATGTAAAACGTTGTGTAGGGCATTAATATCTACACTTTTACAATATCGTATGTAAAACGTTGTGTAGGGCATTAATATCTACACTTTAACAATCTCGTATGTAAAACGTTGTGTAGGGCATTAATATCTACACTTTTACAATCTCGTATGTAAAACGTTGTGTAGGACATCTGTCTACACTTTTACAATCTCGTATGTAAAACGTTGCGGTATGTAAAACGTTGTGTAGGGTATCAGTCTACACTTTAACAATCTCGTATGTAAAACGTTGTGTAGGGCATCAGTCTACACTTTTACAATCTCCTATGTAAAACGTTGTGTAGGACATCAGTCTACACTTTTACAATCTTGTATGTAAAATGTTGTGGAGGGCGTCAGTCTACACTTTTACAAAATCATTTGAAACAAATGCTTTCGAGGGCATCAATCTACAATCTCGTATATATAACGTTGTGTAATGCACCAGTTTACACTTGTAAAACTCGTATGTAAAACATTGTTTAAGGCACCATTCTACACAAGACTAAACGATATGTAAAACGTTGCTTTCGACATCAGTCTACACTTGTACAGACTCGTTTGTTAAATATAGTTTAGGTCACCTGTCTACACTTTTACAACCCCATACGTAAAACGTTGTGGAGGGCACCTGTTTACGTTTACTCAAAAGTCAAACATTGTACATGGCACCATGCTACACTACCTCGTATGTAAAACATTCTGTAGGACACTAATTTTCACTCGACCAAACTCGTAAGTGAAATGATTATAATGGCACCAGTTTTTACTTGACCAAACCGTTGTGCTACGAGATTTTAAAAAATGAAACAAAATGGGATTTGACATACAGGATAGCTTTAATCTCGCATAAATATTCACTGTCGATAATGAACTCGATTGTGTAGTCGTCGATCTAAGATCATTATTGTTATTCCTTGTCCACACGAGAGAAACTGTCTATGTAACTCCGGTCTCAGGACCCCCAGGGGAGGGCTTTGTCACGAGAACTTCATGCGTACAGTTCCGTCCCTCATGTGAAGCTCGGAAAATTTGGCACGCGAACGAGACAGCAAAGTCTATCCAGTGCTAGCATCGCATGCTGCCTGTGCTCTTTCCATTTCAAAATAAAAATAGAAAATTGCTATGGACGGGAACTCTCTTAATTTGCTTTCAACAATGACTGAAAATGTTTGCGTAACTGCACGTGACCCTTGGGTTTTGTCAAACGTTGCCTTCGTCGTTCTGGGGCGTACCTGTGTAGCGTTGATTGCAACGTTTGATTTGAAGTATGACGGGTGTTTTTACTTTTATTCGATAGTGTCCTTTGTAATAGGTATTACAGGTGTGCCTAAAGATTTCTTGTATTTCTGCAACCAGCGGTCGATGTGTTTGAGACGGTACCTGTGTGTGCCCATCCCACCTGCATACCGAATCACGCCCTCTTGTACGATGTAAAGACGTTTGGGGACGGCGGAGTAAAGGAGGGTGGCTTTGTTGTCCATAGGGTCCACCACCACCTGACAAGGAAGCTTGTGTTTTTCCAATAGAGACGCGGCTGTTATCCGATCGTGCAAGTCCACGTGCTGGCGGAGATGTGAGTACTGGTGACCAGTGATATTCCACTCATCTAAGGGATGTGCCTCTTTGATGTAGACTATCAAAAAGTCAGCAATATCGTTAAAGTCTCGCAACAGGCTTTCGAAATGCAGCAGCGACGTCATAAAGACGGGTCATGAACAACTCCCAAAATTTAAAATCAAAGGCCTACTTTTTATTTGGTAATCCAAAATTTGTTTGATTGTTCTATCTTGAAGAGCGATTACTTCTGGGTTTGGGGCGGGACAGTTTTGGAATGCTTGTTTATAGTACATATCTGAGTAGGTACATGTCCACCAATGACGTAACGTGTCGGGGGTCAAATCGGTGTCCAGGTACTCCCCCGGACGGCGCTTCGCTGCAAGCAATAACTCTTTCAAAAATGGACCGAATAGAGGCAACTTGAAGACCAGGTACAAAACGTACATAAGGCACATTGTGACAGTTATACGTAACAACTTGAACAGGGGTCGTAACATCCTGCTGGTGCTGTCGGTTACTGTAATATAAAAACATACAGTCTCTAAGTCAGCCATCTATTAGAAATGGAGCATATTGATTTGTGTTAATAATCCAATCAGTGGCAAACATAGACAGACGAAATGTCAGTTTGAAACGGACAAAAGAAATTCAATGGTGTACATTATTTACATTGGGTTATGACATACACCCGTTTTCAATGGATTTAAAATTGCTATTATGCCTTGGTAAATTTTCACTATGCCTTACTAGAATTACGTTCGCTGATTATACATACAAACAAATAAGAGTGATAACAATTGAAGATTACCTTCCCCACAAAGAGTGAATAGAACAATTAAAAATGCAACGGTGTATTGTTTTGGCAGCAGATTAACAAGAGGTTCATATATCCAAACTCACGCGAACTTGTTGCTGGTTGCACATTGGTTGCTACAATAAGTGGTACCTAAAAATGGACCAGTCATAATATAACAAGTATATTTGAAATTTATCACATCACCGTGGATCGAAACGCTAAAAACCGGAAGTGACAAGTTCATTATCAGTAGGTCTGGCACTTCAAAACAGAATGGCTTATTTCTGTCGACGGAGCGAGACATCTTTAGGAAATTAGACCATAGTAATATCAAGGGAAAAGTTCTCTCATAAGAACCAGGAAATACGTACTTTTTTCAGTTGCCAGTTAAATCTCCATGATGATGACACGTCAGTGATACAGACATCTAGATGAGAACATGTATCGTGTCGATATGTTATATCAACAATTAAACGATGTCGTCTAGACTGTCACACAGATATGAACACGAACTTTGACCTAGGCGAAGGCTGATGCCCCAGTTATCAATATCTTGCCTAGTGAACAATGGCCAGCTATCACAAGACTTGTTGAGATAGCGGATGTTTTAAGTGGTCAAAGTACCTCAATTTATGACATGCAATCATGTTTTTAATCTTAACGATACAGCTGATTGTTCTATAAAAAAGACCTTTAAACTACACAGAGACGTTAAAGCAGCACTACTTGGTAACACCAATAATGTTACTGACTATAACACAATGGTTGTCTGTGCGTCAGATAATGTTAGATTTGTAACCAAAATACACAGATTACCGATCAAAAGTAGTATTTTAGTGGATTTGCTGTCTTTCACGCCTGTATCTGCACATAATTTAGTAATTGAAGGATTCAAACTATACTGATGATAAAAGCTGCTGCTGCTGCTGCTGCTGCTGATGATGATGATGATGATGATGATAATGAAAGTAATGCCAGATGCTACCACTTTCAAGAGCGTTATTCGTGTTACCTCCCTTGGACTTGCAATATGATCAGTTCGCGTTCGAGATGATTTTAAGATTCCAAAGTCAACAACTTAGTTGTACTCCGTCCCTGTTACACAGATCGAAGTAAGACTTAGGTCAGTCCGTACTCCGTCCCTGTTACACAGATCGAAGTAAGACTTAGGTCAGTCCGTACTCCGTCTCTGTTACACAGATCGAAGTAAGACTTAGGTCAGTCCGTACTCCGTCCCTGTTACACAGATCGAAGTAAGCAGCCGATCCCGGCCAGTTTGTACTCCGTCCCTGTTACACAGATCGAAGTAAGACTTAGGTCAGTCCGTACTCCGTCCCTGTTACACAGATCGAAGTAAGCAGCCGATCCCGGCCAGTTCGTACTCCGTCCCTGTTACACAGATCAAAGTAAGCAGCCGACCAAGACCAGTTCGTACTCCGTCCCTGTTACACAGATCGAAGTAAGACTTAGGTCAGTCCGTACTCCGTCTCTGTTACACAGATCAAAGTAAGCAGCCGATCCCGGCCAGTTCGTACTCCGTCCCTGTTACACAGATCAAAGCAAGAAGTCAATCCCGGCCAGTTTGTACTCCGTCCCTGTTACACAGATCAAAGTAAGCAGCCGATCCCGGCCAGTTCGTACTCCGTCCCTGTTACACAGATCAAGGTAAGCAACCGACCCAGACCAGTTTGTACTCCGTCCCTGTTACACAGATCAAAGTAAGCAACCGATCCCGGCCAGTTCGTACTCCGTCACTGTTACACAGATCAAAGTAAGCAGCCGATCCCGGCCAGTTCGTACTCCGTCCCTGTTACACAGATCAAAGTAAGCAGCCGACCCAGACCAGTTCGTACTCCGTCCCTGTTACACAGATCAAAGTAAGCAACCGACCCAGATCAGTTCGTACTCCGTCCCTGTTACACAGATCAAAGTAAGCAACCGACCCAAATCAGTTCGTACTCCGTCCCTGTTACACAGATCAAAGTAAGCAGCCGACCCAGACCAGTTCGTACTCCGTCCCTGTTACACAGATCAAAGTAAGCAACCGACCCAGATCAGTTCGTACTCCGTCCCTGTTACACAGATCAAAGTAAGCAGCCGACCCAGACCAGTTCGTACTCCGTCCCTGTTACACAGATCAAAGCAAGAAGTCAATCCCGGCCAGTTTGTACTCCGTCCCTGTTACACAGATCAAAGTAAGCAGCCGACTTAGGCCAGTTTGTACTCCGTCCCTGTTACACAGATCAAAGTAAGCAACCGACCCAGACCAGTTTGTACTCCGTCCCTGTTACACAGATCAAAGTAAGCAGCCGACTCAATTCCGGCCAGTTTGTACTCCTTCCCTGTTACACAGATCAAAGCAAGAAGTCAATCCCGGCCAGTTTGTACTCCGTCCCTGTTACACAGATCAAAGTAAGCAGCCGACCCAGACCAGTTTGTACTCCGTCCCTGTTACACAGATCAAAGTAAGCAGCCGACTTCGGCCAGTTCGCACTCCGTCCCTTTTACACAGATCAAAGTAAGCAGCCGACCCAGACCAGTTTGTACTCCGTCCCTGTTACACAGATCAAAGTAAGCAGCCGACCCAGGTCAGTTCGTACTCTCCTGAAATTCAAGGCAGTGGTTTTGTTGCCTTATTGATAAGGGATTGAATTATCAATTCGTTGTTTCAAGTCATGATCTGCACAGTTTGTCACAAAGGATATGCCAATAATTCTGTGGAAGATTTAAGTACAAAGTTTTATTAGCCAGATAACCATCATGGCAGCTTTATTCTCAGTTATTTCATCTTAATCCTCCCTTGCTGATAATATCGGTACTATATATTTTATAATGACATAAGTTTGAATCACCAGGCAAACAAAGACTTTCAGTTTAGGATAACTATAGTAATAATAATGATGTGGATTTAAGAACCTGTTTAGCCGAGGCTAATCTTCCACAGGGCCCTCTTGTTAGTAACGCATAGTACTTAGTATATGTTAAAATACATGATTGCTTACAATATAATCATAAGATTTTCATACATTTATCACAGATTGATAATTAAGAATATCCACAGAATTTATCAAAGTTCGTGCAAATAGGCATATCAATCAAAGACAATTTGTCTAATAAACTTACTTAAGGACATATAATATATAAAATATGAAAATAGTTTTTCACTCATATAAAATCTCGTTAAACATTACTGGCATTGGAAAGAAAATCTAAAAAGTAGTTCGTTAAGAGTTTAAATAATAGCACACTAGTTTTTGTTTGAAAATAGGAAAAGATGTTTCAGTTTTGATTTCATTTGGAAGTTTGTTCCATTCCTGACAACCAGATACATAAAATGTCTCCAATAATAAGATGTCCCGTGTTTTTAAAACCAATATATTTTTTACTAGATACCTGCCTTGTAGACCGCTGATTAACATTTCCAACCAAATTAAAATCACCGGAAAGAAATTGTGGCACCATACCATTTATATATTTATATGACATAATTGGTTTTTTTGAATTTAAAATGATTTTGAATTGGCATCCATTTAACCTGTTAAGCATTTCTGCTGAAGGAGCACCATACGATTTCTCTTAAATCAATCTGGCAGCACAGTTTTGAACTTTTGACAGTATGTTTAGAAAAGCTTCTGTACTTCCAGACTTTTAGGCATTTCTGCTGAAGGAGCACCATACGATTTCTCTTAAATCAATCTGGCAGCACAGTTTTGAACTTTTGACAGTATGTTTAGAAAAGCTTCTGTACTTCCAGACTTTTAGGCATTTCTGCTGAAGGAGCACCATACGATTTCTCTTAAATCAATCTGGCAGCACAGTTTTGAACTTTTGACAGTATGTTTAGAAAAGCTTCTGTACTTCCAGACTTTTAGGCATTTCTGCTGAAGGAGCACCATACGATTTCTCTTAAATCAATCTGGCAGCACAGTTTTGAACTTTTGACAGTATGTTTAGAAAAGCTTCTGTACTTCCAGACTTTTAAGCATTTCTGCTGAAGGAGCACCATACGATTTCTCTTAAATCAATCTGGCAGCACAGTTTTGAACTTTTGACAGTATGTTTAGAAAAGCTTCTGTACTTCCAGACTTTTAGGCATTTCTGCTGAAGGAGCACCATACGATTTCTCTTAAATCAATCTGGCAGCACAGTTTTAACTATTTTCAACAGAAGCTTTTCACGACAACCTAATTGTGAAGATACCAACTTTTGACAGTATGTTTAGAAAAGCTTCTGTACTTCCAGACTTTTAGGCATTTCTGCTGAAGGAGCACCATACGATTTCTCTTAAATCAATCTGGCAGCACAGTTTTGAACTTTTGACAGTATGTTTAGAAAAGCTTCTGTACTTCCAGACGTTTAGGCATTTCTGCTGAAGGAGCACCATACGATTTCTCTTAAATCAATCTGGCAGCACAGTTTTGAACTTTTGACAGTATGTTTAGAAAAGCTTCTGTACTTCCAGACCAGACTGTGTTAAAGTACATGAAATGAGGAAAACACAGGCATTGTAAAATTTCAAGTGACCATCTATTGGTATGAATTGGCGGATACGCCGTAGTTATCCTAAACCTTGGTTTATTTTGGAAACATCAGAGGAAAATATGCGCTGACCAGGATAACGTGTCATCAATTTTAGTACCAAGTCATTTTTCGCATTTAACCACAGTTTCCTCCCTTGTCATGGAGTCTCCCAAGTTTCTACTTGAAAGAAATAAACATATATATCAGATTTAAGGTGTAATGGTAAATCGCTGATGCAAAGTAAAAACATCAAGGGGTCCAAAATTGAAATTTGAGATAGACTATGGGTAATTTTCATGTTAGTGGATATATTTCCTGTAATAATTACTTTTTATGACCTATCATTGAGATATGAATCAAACCATGTAATGGTATTTGAATCACATTTGTATAATTTTAGTTTCTCAAGTAACGCGGCATGGTTGACTAAATCAATAACTTTCTTAAAATCTAAGAAAATAACACCGTTTACAAGACTTTTATCAATATTTTTTCCAAATATTAACTATTTTCAACAGGGCTGTTTCGCAAACGAAGCTTTTCACGACAACCTAATTGTGAAGATACAGGGAGATCATGTGTATTCAAATATTGGTAGAAAGATTTGTCGCTCTAGTATTTTGAATAAAGTGGGTGATACAGATGAGGTCTGTAATTTTGTACACAGGAATTACCTTTGCAGTTTTTCCATTGTATAGGAAAACAACTTGAATACTAAGATTAATTATATATGGTAATGAAGGTGTTATATAAGCACATGAAATATTTATCATTTTAGCAATGATACCATCCAAACGTTTTACTTTCTTTGTTTTCAAAGATCGCAAAGATTTGTCAATGAAACAGTGATAGTTGGAAGTGAAAAAAAAACAATCCCCAACTAGTTTAGTATTTACAAAATTCTTCAACTTTTCGAAAGTACAATTTGTATTTCTCAAGCAT